TTCTGTCAATAGCTCTCTGGAACGAGGTGGCCCCGTTTTTGACCCCAAACGGAATTCTTCAGAATTGTGACAAATGACCATTCACTACAAAAACAGTGTATTTTTTTTTATCTGAATCTTTAAGCGGCACCTGGTGGTTGGCACTTTTGAGGTCGAATTGAAAAACTGCTGTATTTAGCGAGGTCATTAATCATTTAACAATTCTTGGCATGGCATAAGCATTCAGTTCTGTGGATAGGTTTATCGTCTGTGAATAATCTACGCACATTCGTTTTTTTATGGCGGTGGTTAGGGTCCTTCACTACTTCTAGCTGGTGAAATGCTTTCTTCAATTACACCTTCAAAAAGCAAGTTCTGAATTTCTTTATATTTATGAAGGCATGATCTTTTTAAAATGCCTCAAATTTGCGGCAATGGGTGTACAATTTGGTGATAAATTAGAAAATAATGATGCTGACACAGAAAATCTTGGCCGAGTATCACATCAGAACACAAATCCTTGAAAACACCCAAACGGGTGACAATATACAACTGGTCATTAAAGCAAAGGGTTAGATATACATCTACATCGCCCCTTGAATTAATGTTTAAAGTTTTCTGGGCTATGGTGATACTTTTACTGGACGGGTGAACTTTCAAGTTTCATTCCCACACGACTCCTTCACTCAGATAACTGTCAGTGCTACAAGAATCGAGTAGAGCATTTAGTTTTTCCATTAAAAATTGCATGCGTCACAGCGGGGGAGAGTTTCCATGGTACATTAGTAAGCATTGTCAGTATATGAGGACCAGGCACTTTTTTTTTTTGCTAATGAATTTAATGAAGACTTGGACTGACATGCACAAACGTAATGTTCTTGCATTGAGTAGTTACGTGAGCAGGACAATGGTTATGTAAATGATAGAGAAATCCACAGATAAAGCATTTACGTTTTGCTTGATAGGTCGCGGCTACTGCTGGTTAATTAGGTTCGACTGGGGTTTTATAACAATTCTCTTATACCTTGTGTTTTCTGGATCGACTATTGCTGCCATTTGAGCTTCTGAAGTAGTGTACAAGTCGTTATTCTGTTGGGATAAGTCCAGTACAGAAGCTTGAGTATAAGCTGTTTGTAGGTCCAGAGTCTTATTTTCCAGGAGACGCTGCCGTATGGGATGTGAACCTATGCCTGTAATGAAGGCGTCTCGCATGGCTTCATTGCCATACTCTTCAGCAGTATGGTCTTTGAAGTTGCAGTTCTTCCCCAACTTTTCCAACTCCCTAAAAAACTCTTCCAGCGATTTTCCCGGCTTCTATTGTCTCGTAGCCAACAGGTGCCTCATGAAAACCTCATTAGGTGTTTTAGTTTTTAACAAATACGTTATCCCATTTTTATATAGCCATATCGAAACTTGTACATCCTTCTACACTTAATTGAGGCTTTCATTTTACTCGTAATATATTATATATCAAGTCTGTTTTAAGGAAAACTAATATTTTTACAAAATGATAATTAAACATCATTTTTAGAAACAGTGTTTGGATTAATTTTTCTCGAGTAAATATAATTATAGTGAAATCATATTGTTTCATTTTGTGTGTTTTACATTGAATGTTTTTAATTGGCTGTTTATTGCTTGGTCATAATAATCTGCTCTGCCACTGACTGCTTCTTGCTTGCTCGTAACCGAGGAAGAAATAAGCGATTTTAAAAGCTCAGCTTCAATGTCAAGTGAGGCTTTACTATTTCCTCAGTTTCTTATTGGCCTTCTTAATTTCCTCGTCAGTAGGATAAGTAGTGTTTTTTAATGCAACTACCAAATCGTTATTCAACAATCATCAATAAAAAAAAATTAATTGCTATGATCACAATTTTTACAAGGGACGCAACTTACGTATGTTTTATTAGAGTTAGCTCCCCTATTTGTCTTTTCTTTTTTTTTTTTTCCATCTAAATTTGATTTTTCAGTTCGTGTCGCCTGAACATTTAATAGTGATTTTTGCGTAGCCTAGATATGGCACAAGGCCGAAAATAAGGGGAACCCAGTGAGGTTCGATCTCACTACTCAGTCGTAATTGTTCTAGCGAGACAAGCTTGCTAACCATTAAACTGCCACATGGTGCCCCACCTGAACTTTTAATATGGGCCGGGCTAATTGTTCCAAAAGGTGGTGTTCGAATTTTTGCTATGGCTTTAGCTAATCTTATTCCCGAGATGATGGCTTGCATTGCAATAACGGATTTACGATTCTGTCATCACGGTAATACTATTGATATTTTTTTTTTTTTTTTTTACTCTCATACGTTAGAACACCCTTAACAGGACATCTTTTTTACTAACACACTAATTGGGACCCATTTTCTCTGCAATGACCCTTGGAATTAAATTTTTTTTCTCGTTGAAAATTGCGCCACTGAGGTTTCTTCCTGTGTGAAAGCTGCCATTGGAAGTTTTTTTGAAAATTTAAATAAAATGTCAATCAGCATCCGTTTCCGGAATTCTGTTCTATTATTGTCCTTTTTGGTGATTAAAGTCTTCGTTATTTTTTCCTCTCAGAAACTTTATTGTCCTTTTTGGTGATTAAAGTCTTCGTTATTTTTCCTCTCAGAAACTTTATTGTCCTTTTTGGTGATTAAAGTCTTCGTTATTTTTCCTCTCAGAAACTTTATTGTCCTTTTTGGTGATTAAAGTCTTCGTTATTTTTCCTCTCAGAAACTTTATTGTCCTTTTGGTGATTAAAGTCTTCGTTATTTTTTCCTCTCAGAAACTTTATTGTCCTTTTTGGTGATTAAAGTCTTCGTTATTTTTTCCTCTCAGAAACTTTATTGTCCTTTTTGGTGATTAAAGTCTTCGTTATTTTTTCCTCTCAGAAACTTTATTGTCCTTTTTGGTGATTAAAGTCTTCGTTATTTTTCCTCTCAGAAACTTTATTGTCCTTTTTGGTGATTAAAGTCTTTGTTATTTTTTCCTCTCAGAAACTTTATTGTCCTTTTTGGTGATTAAAGTCTTCATTATTTTTTCCTCTCAGAAACTTGCATCTTAGTAACATTATCGACTTACTTGGGGTGAAATGATTATTAAAACAAATTATTATGTCTTGGTTGTTTTGGAAAGTATTTTATTAATTTCTGGGACTTGTCCTTGTTATAAACTAATTGCTTTATCTTTAAAATTTCATTTATTTTCTCATCTTCATGAGCCATGTGGTTTGAATGAATGATCAGAGGAAAAGGTTTTACTTACCTGAGTGCCTGTAGAAAAACTGAGTAAATGACAAGTGTTTTTTTTTATGGACAGGTTCAAAGACAGCATGGAGGGAGAAGTGTCTATAAATCACCCCACCCCCAGGTAGTGGGGGTGGGCTTTTTTATTTTGGAATTTGCTATAGGAGAAATGAGGAGGAAGAAGTGGTGGAAGTTAGAAGAGACACAGAAATCCAGGAATTCTATTCGGTTGTATTGGTAAGCATTGTAACAATTCTATTGCTGGTAAATTGAAAAGAAAGGAACCTAGGCTTTTAAGGCCACAGGTATCAATTTCACTCCAGTTCTCTTTTTCTGGCAGGAATTGGTAAGTACATGTTCTTCACTCTGACTCATTGCATTTTGGAAAAAAAAAAATAACAATTCCACCCCCCTCTGTCTGAGGAAATTTCCTTATTTTTTAATAGATTTTCTAACGCTTTCCTAAAATGGCAGTAATTAATCCTTGAATGGAGTCTGTTAAAATTTGTGTTGTTGTCTGTGGCTTGAGTTTTGCTTTGCAGAAATGAATAATGAATACATTTTTCAGAGTCTGTTAATATTTCTGAGATGAGGTATTATGTACATTATTCGGACTATTTTCCTCATCGAAAGGAATATAAAGGAGAGACAGGCCGCCCCCTCAAGGTAAGGCTTCCAGAACACCAGAAAGCTGTAACACGAGGGGAAGTAGAAAAATCAGGTGTGGCTGACCATATATGGAGAGAGAATAGAGATCACTGCCCTCTGTGGGATCATGTTGAGATCATAGACAAGGAACACCATTGGAAAATTCGTAAACTTAAGGAATCAGCACATATGCTAGGCCACAAAAATCACCTGAGCTGACCAAGCATAGAAATAAATACAATATGGGAACCAGTAATAAGGAGTGCCAGAGAAAAGCAATGATAACAACAAAGTTGCAATATGAGCACTGGTAAAAATGGTTGCTGAAGACATTAGGTTTATAATACCCAGATGTCCTCAAGGACACATGACACAGTGGATAAAGGCGTTGGTTAGATCCAGTGACAGGACCCAAAGAGTGTGAGTTCAATACTCAGTTAAGGCAATGGAGAACTTTCAGAGGGAAATTAACAGGAGATAACTGACATCCATCAAACATGGCACGTGGAACTAGAACAGTCTACCCCAGTGAGCGAAATATAGGGTTCAGTTCGAAATTCCAACCACCTGAAGAAGGCCGGAGCGTACAACAGCCGAAACGTGATAAATATGGCGACAAAGATGAGGACAATAGTCCGAATAATGTAAATACATTTTTCTAACCATTGCTTGAAAAGAAGAGTTTGTTTCTCTTTTGAATGATATGTGGAAGTGACAATTAATATGGTATTGTATTTAAATAGGCAAATTTTTATATAAAGAACACAGAAATAAAAAAAATAATAATTTTTATTAAAATCTTCAAAATCAATATAAAAACACTGAAATTTAGTAAAAGTTTGGAATTTTAAAAAATTATTTAATTTTTTTATCATCCCTACCACTTATATGACATCAATCACAATCTTCTGTCTTCCTTAATCCGCTTTTTTTTTCTTTTTTTTTTCTTGCCCTTTTCTCATTAAAATCTTCCCATTGCTCTTCTACTCCCAGTAACCCACCACCACCCTTGTGTGGTGGTGGATTTATTGCTTTGCTTTGAATGAAATGATTAACAATTGTAATAATTTTTTTTTTTTTAAATTACTCTTGTTAGGGTTTAATCTCTCCAAATCACTCACAGCTGAAAGTAAACAAGATTATGTATTTATTGGGGCATCCGATAGAGAGTCACAGAGCCAGACAAACGATCACCTGCACTGCTGTGTGTGGAGGAGACAACCAGAAACACCTAGCAAAAAGAAAAAAAAAGTCTTATGAAATAATTACCTTTCTTTCAATAGATTTCAAAAGAAATTTAGCAAAATACTAGATTATGTTGGGGTTTTTTTTAACAATGTTTCCTTTTATTACTTTTAGCAAATTTAAAAATGAAAAATGTTTGAATTTAAACATCAAATGAAAAACAGGATGAATTGTTCTCTCTTTATTTGTTTAACCACTAAAAGTTTTTAAGTTTAAATACAAAAAAAATAAAAAGAATTATTTTATTATTCTCTTCATTCTGGAAACTTAAAGTTGATTGAAGGAACAGAGAAGCAATTTAAAGAAGATTTGGTGTCATTTTGGGAAGAGCCAGATATTGATAACTGACAAACATTATGGATCAATAAAATTTGATCAATGCTGAAAAACTGTCACTAAACTTACATCTCTCTTTGTTTTATAAACAGCAAAAGCATTTCCAAATCTTGCTTTTTCTTCTTCACCAGAAATTTGCAGAGATGCCTGCAAACAAATGTCAACAAAATTTAAATTGTTTGACACAAAATATTTGTCACTGAAATATATAAAGACATCATATGTTAAAGAAAAAATCTGACAGATTATGTGGTACTTAAAATGGGTAAACAAATGTACACAACAATATCGTAAAATCAAAAGAAAATGGTTGAATCCGTCAACACAGCTATAATGTCAATATTTTCCACACGTGACATTAACTGACATTATTTTCAGTTATCAATATGAAAATAGTATTCTCTACATTTCTCCAGTTGCTAAGAACATTCTGGTTTTTGTTATTATTAGTTACTGCCCATCCACAGTAAAGAAAGTATCTTAATTTCCAAAATTTGTCATTTATGAGAGATAAGAATATTGTTTATGATCATCTTAATACTTCTGTGTTTATTTCACATTCTCCTAAAAATTGGACACAAGACATCTATAGACAGAGAAAAAAAAAAATTAAACTATTTATATCAAGAAACATGCATTTTTTTTTTTTTTTAATAATATAAAATGAGGTAAAGAAAAAAAAAAATTCAACCTAATTACCTTTTCCCCTGGACAAGGAACAATGGGTGTGTGTTTGCACTGAGAAGTCACATTACCCGTAGGAAAGTCATCACCACCATAATAAATATAGACATGTCCTGATTCCACTAAGAAAAGAAAATAAATAAAAAGAAAGATGGAAATGACTGAATTTTAAGGATTGGAAATTTCTTTTAAGAATTTTAATCCTTATCTTCATCAAATTCTATCCAATTCTTTGCCAGAGTAAGAAGATCATTAATTGGCAGCTCTAAGTAATTCTAAGTACCAGGATGGTGTTGTTCATTTAGTATCAACTAGCAGCATGAGATAGAAATATTACCATCCTCTTGGAAAATTAAATTACACAGTAAGGTAGAAGCTGTTAAGACTGCAACTATATATAAAATTAATTAGTAGTTGGCCACTCTAGGGCAGCTAGCCAATACCTATTGCAGACGCTAGCTCAGACACATTTCTGTTTGTTCAACACCCACGGAGCCCACCTGTGATTTATATTGCAACTATGCTGAGCAGACCTTAATTACAGTTTCTGGGAGAGAGCGTGTTATCTAAAATGAACAAACCAGCACACTCAAACCCTCAGTCATGATGACTTGTGACTTTGTGCTAGCACAGCTATCGACAGCCCCAATTGTTCCAGCTACCCAATTTCACTCACAAGGCTTGGGTCAACCTGTGGTATGGTTTTCAAACACTTTCCACACACTGGGATTGTCCCTCCACCAAACCAATAACATCAGGAAGTCTCCTTTCTGACAAATCAACCCTGGTGAGATTTGAATCCGGGTCTCATGGTCAGAAAGCAAACGGTCTAATCACTTGGCCATGCACCCATGTGTGTGTGTGTGTGTGTGTGTTTTGATGTAATGAGGTTTGATGAAGTATCCATGTTTAACTCGGTTAGTGGGAATCAAACATTGTACTTTCCAATCTCCATGAAATTAAGCAACTAACTTCAGCCATTCTGAAAACAGATTATCAGTTCATCTTGTTTGTTAAATAATGCATCTCCGTAATCCTCTAAGACCCTGAGGGTTCCATGCAGAGATTTCTTCCTATCCAATAAGATAGGCCATTTCTCAGTTTCATCCACCATATTTCTGTTCATTCTTACCTTGAAGTCAGAATGTTGCAATCACTTGTCTGTATCCCCCTTTTTGTGTGCTAACACCATTCTTACTTTCCAAACTGTTTGCATCATTGCTACTGTCTTTCATATATTGTTTCTAGCAATTACTTTACACAGACTTTAAAAGATATTGGTAGAGTAGAGAGGTCTAGGTAGAGGGAGAAGTTTATGGAATCCTCCACATTTGCCTGTCACCCCCTACGGGAAGATGCACTCTTCCCCAAATAAACATTTAACCAATCATCACTTTACTTTTTCAAACTCAATCCCCCATTGGTTAAAAGGACACTAAAATGTAGCAAAGTTGAGACAAACCTTTTTTTTCCCCCGTACAGGTCCCTGGAGCCTATTTGGAAACTCAAAAATCTATAAAAAGAATCGCTCGACTTAATTCAAGTTAGTCAGACACTGAGTTTCGAGAGATACCAGTAGACCCAACATGTGCCAACATACTGACTCAATAACCACTACCAACCTCTCAACACAAATAGCACAACTATTGCTGCGTGAAGAAACTTAACTTACACTTTACTAAAAAGTGACATCACAACAAAACAGTAATTGTACATTCAATCAACTTTAGCCTATCAGTTAAAGGCAAACAACTCTTCATAACTTAAATCAACACCAGCAGTTGTCACACATATACACACTATCACTTGAACTTACACAATTGACAATTTTCCTTGCAGATATCAAACTATTTTAATTCCACAAACAAACTTAAACTATCAACCTTCACTCACTAAATTTCTGCATGGACAATCTTTGTAACCTTATCTTGCCACATTTAACAAGCAACTTATCACTTTGTGTATGTCAAATATATATATAAAAATTCACGTTATTGTTAAAATCTCTAATGACATTGTTTTCAGTAATTTCTTGAAGTTGAATTGTCTATTTTTGTTTGTAATGCATTTATCCACAACAAATAAATCAATCACACATTCTAGGCCTTCACAAAAAATCACCTTCTGATACATCTTACTCAGCATAGATTCCACAACAGGTTCAAAAAACTTAATCAAGCAATACCACTATTTGCAGCTGCATTTAACAAATATCTGTGATTAGATTTAGAAAAATGGATTTGTTTAAAGAAGAGAAATGACAGAATTTCATCAAGATTCTTGGGAAACACAATAAGACTTTTTTTTTTTCATTTGTTTTTAAAACCAAAGTGAATGAACACTTTACTGACAAATGTGATGTAAAGAAAAATACAGCTTTGAATAATACTCACCCCCGGAATTGCCTAGGATTTTCTTCTTATAAAAAGGGGAAGTAACGACAAAATCATCAATGTTATCACGATTCACGTCTGAAAACTGAAAAATTCATAAATCTTCAATAAATCAAAACTGAGAATTTCAATCTTCTGTTTCATTTTCATTAGTTTTGCAGGATTTGAATTGAGTTCCAACCATCTTTTTTTTAAATTTTTTTTATAAAAATGCAAGCAAAAGAAAAAAAACAAAATTCCTTCCTGGCAACTTCCATTGATTTTTGTTATGAAATTCTCAATTTGTTTCAACTCATCACAATCCATAACTCAGGCCTATACAACATGAGTAGCTCTTCAGTGACTTGAGACCAACTATCAACACTTGAAAGTTCATTGCTGGAATTGGATTAAAGAAATTTTTAATTTTTACTTTTGGATTAAGCTTATTCAAGATACTGAAGTAAGTAATGGTTATTTATTTGAACTTGCAATATTTCATCTTTAAACAAACTTTTTTGGTGCAAAATTCACAAGTGTCATTCAGAATTTTATGACATAAAAATAAAATGTTAAGACAAATTAAGTATAAAATTATTTTTTATGAATTATTTATATTTTTCCTTAACAGAACAAAGAGGTATCATTTTCTTTTTAAATAAAAGTATGTTGAATTTTTGTCATTCATAAATAAATAGAAAATACTGAAAACAAAGGTAACATTTTTCACTGCAAAATTAACTTTCTGATAAATTCTTTAATAAGTATCATTTTTAATTCATGTCAAAAATTAAATTCAATAAATCTAGTATTTTACAACTATTATAAATATACCACAAAAATGTAAAGATATTATTGTCTTGGCAATATCATCTTTTTCTTAAATTTTTTTGATTATTTTAAACAACTAAATTCACAAAAAAATGTCATTATTAAGAATTTTCTCACAGAAAGTTAATTCAGTTTTTTGCTTTATGCTATTATTCTTCATAATAATGAATATCTTAATTATAAAATTCATTTTTTTAATAATTTATGTTTTCTTTATAACCTATAAAGTATGTTGAGACCATCCTTGTAAGAAATCAAAAAAGAAATGAATTAACTTTTTCGTACTGCTAATTTTCTAAAATTACTATACAGAAATTTGCACACATATTTAATATCTGTCTATATTTTTGAGATGAGATATTGTAATTATTTACACTATTTGGACTGTTGTCCTCATCTTTGTTGCTATATTCATGACATTTTGGCAGTTGTACACTACAGCCTTCTTCAGGTGATTGGAATTTTGAACTGAACCCTTTATTTCATCCACCAGGGTAGATTTTTCTACTTTCACATGACATGCCTCTTCCGGGTGTCTCAGTTATCTCCCTTTAACTCAATTCTCTAAGTTTTTGTTCACCACTGCAGTAGCCAGGTATTGAACTTACAACTCTTTGGGTCAAGTCACTGGATCCAACCAATGGTTTTATCTATGGGCCATATATCCTTGAGGACATCAGGGTGTGAGTTTTTATGACTTATAAACTTAATGTTTCAGTAATCATTTTTTGTTTGATTTTTTTTTTTTTTTTTTTTTAACAGAGCTCATATTACAGATCCTAATCAAGAACAAGGAACACTTCCCACCTAAGACATACAGGCAGTTGTCACAGCATTACACCAAGCTACCTCACATATATGGTCATCTCAAAATTTACGAAGATGGTATTCCACTCAGGCCAATTGTTAGATGATAAGACTCTGTGCCACCCTCTGAGTCACTTCCTTGTAGATATAATTGACCTATTAATAGGAAAGTCTCTTTCATATGTTTGAAACTCCACCCACTTTGTGGAAATACTCAAAGATGCTCCTATCCAATCCAACCAGATGGTGAGCCTGGATGTGGTGAGTTTGTTTACCAAGTTACCCACGGAGAAGGCACTATCAGTAGTCAAGGACAGACTGGCCTCAGACTCATCCCTGGGAGAATGGACTAGTATACTAATAGATAACCTGAGATGCTGACTTTCTGTATACAAACAACACACTTCAGAAAGGGATCAGACAAATATTGCCAGGATGAAGGCTTATCAATGGGCTCACCATTATCACCAACAATGGCAAACATATACACGGAATACTTCAAAGAAATGGCATTAGAATCCACATTATTAAAGCCAACCCTATGGCTGAGATATGTAGATGACATCTTCATACTCTGGCCACACCAGGAAGAGGTTCAGCTACTACTGGATCATGTGAACTCAATATGATCATCAATACAGTTCACAATGGAGAGAGAAAACGACAACAAACTTGCATTCCTAGATGTACTAATATCTTGAACAGAGTATGGATTCAAAACATCCATATACTGCAAGCCAATATTCACTGGACAATACCGCAACTTCAACTCCCACCACCCATAAAGTGTAAAGAAAGGGATTATCCATTTCTTACAACATTGAGCAAAAGTCATAAATAGCAACCCAGAGACAGATGAACAAAAATGGTCAGTATAAGCAGTACGCTACAACATAACTACCCTGGGTACATGTCAGTGTGTAGTGAAAGAGAATCATTTACCCTGAAAAAAGTTTGTGTTCTGTGTGCGATCTGCCAAAGAAAAATTACAAAAAGTAGTTAGCAAAAATCTACTTCAATGACCATAATCTATGCTAATGTTCTCCCCTCCCCTGAATGGCGTGACCAATCAGAAAAATCCCTCGTTTTTCGCTTATAAAGGCAGAAGATTTTCTGAGCTGCCGGTGGAACACGCATGGACGTGTGACACCATTTTGTCGTTTCTACTTTGTTTGTTGGACTGTTACGACGGACCTGTTTGAACTGCGATTTGGCTACAAGTGTTGCGGTCAAGAAACGGAAGAAATCTATTGCAGTTGCTACTATCAGTTGACAGTCTTTTCTTTACTACGAGACAGTGGCTCTGACAAACTGGGATAGAAGAGTACAAGAGGATAACACTCAGGGTAGGCAGACCAAAGCTGTTTTCTGTGTGAAGGGATTATCGGAGAAAATACAAAAGATCTGTGGTCCCTATAACATCAGGACAACCTTCAAAAGTGGCTTGACACTTTGCAGACACCTCTTCCGAGTAAGACCCCTTCATAGAGGAAAACATGACTAAGGACTGTGTGTATGCCATCCCATGCAACTGTGGTAAGAAATATAAACAAGCCATACCCTTAAGGTAAGACTGCAAGAACATCCTAAAGCCGAAACATGAGGGAAAATAGAAAAATCAATTGTATCTGACCACATATGGAGGGAAAAGAGAGATTACCACACCCTATGGGATGAGGTTGAAATAATAGACTGATAACATTACTGAAAAATATGAAAACTTAAGGAGTCGGGACATATGCTAATCCACAAAATTCTCCTTAACTGGCCAGGCATAGAAATATAAGCTCTGATAAAAAAAATAATTACTGAGAAATTAAGTTTATAAGTCCCAAAAATTCACACACTGATGTCCTCAAAGAACACATGGCCCAGTAGATAAAAATCATTGGTTAGATTCAGTGACTTGAGCCAAAGAGTTGTGAGTCTGTGTAAATAAAAACATGGTGAGCTGAGTTAAAGGGAGATAACTGAAACATCCGCAAGAGGCATAGAATTAGAACACTCTACCCAGGTTGATGAAATAAAGGATTCAGTTCAAAATTCCAGTCACCTAAAGTAGGCCAGATTGTAAAACAGCCGAAATATTGTGATTATGGCAACAAAGATGAGGACAACAGTCTGAACAATGTAAATAGAGTAAATATTTAATTCAATATTTTTTCTATGATAATATTCTTCATAACTAAGATTGATTTAAAAAATAATTATTTACACATGGGTAAAAAAATAATGTATGTTTAATTTACTAGCGTTCTTGTTAAAAAAATGTAAAACAAAAAAATTTAACCAGTGTAATATTTTTACATTATTTGAAAAAAAAATATTGCTTAATTTTGTTTAGATAATCGTTTTTTATGGGGGAGGAGGTGATCAATTTGCACTCGCCATAAAATACAATTCATAAAATATGATTATCCAAAAATTTTAATGAGGGAAGTTCAGTTCACTATGTAACTTCAATGAAAAAAAAAAAAACAGACCCTGACAAGTGAAACAATTTTGAAATCCTTGAGAACCACACAATTCCATAAAGACAATGGAAAGTAACATAAGATGACAAATTCCCACATTCATCTAAACTAAAATATTTAATTCTGAATCCTAAACCCTCCAGACTTTAGAATATAAGGTTCATAAACTTTTTAAAAAATAATAGTTTAAGTTTTTTTTATTTTTTTAATTTCAGTAAAACCCAAAATGTTTAAAAAAAAAAAAAAGTACTGGTTGTTGTAAAGTATGATTAACAAAATAAGGTTTGTGTATTTAGTTTTCCCCAATATCAATGGTTAAAGACAACACCCATGACAAACCAAACATTGTAGTTTGTGAAAGGCATTTTTCATCTGATTATAAAACAGTGGTTATTACAAGATGGGTATGAACCAGAAATCCACCATCAATATTTGATCCTTTGCCACAAAGGATTGAAACAAAACATTATGATTCTGATATCATTGTTTCATTTTGGTTATTATATAACAGACTTTAGGATGATTTTAAGTTATCTAATGTGAAAACTATCAGCTTTGACATCAGAAGTTTCAAAATTAGATAATTTTAATTTCCTTAGTGATATTCTAGTGAAATCTTGGAAAATCAGAAAAAAAAAAATGTATGCCAAGGTTGCTCTACAATATCATGGAGGAAACTTTTATTTGGTTTGGCTGAAAATTTGGAGGGATTAGTAAAAACAGTATTAGGCATTAGTAAAATGTTTAAATAGTGAACCAAAAATGTTATTTAAAATGATCCCAGTTGCAAAATTAGAAGCAACTTTGTGATATGAAAAAATGTTATATATTGTTGATGTAATTACAATTGGATGTGACAATAACAGGACACATCAATTTTTTTTGTCAAATTTTTGGAAAAAAAAAAAATTGTTTTTCATAAACCATGGATAACTAAAAATGGCTTTACTTACTTTTTGATGATGTCCACCTTTTTAAAAATATTTTGAATAATTGGATTACTGAACATATTTCTGAATTACTGTTTTATTCTGACGGCAAAATGGGAAATTGTAAAAGTTCTTTTTGAGTATGAAAAAACTCAATTTGTTAAGCTGTCGAAACTAACTAATGTAGCAGCTTACCAAAAACCTGTTGAGCAACAAAATGTTTCCCAATGTTTAAAAGATTTTTTTTATGCAGCTGCCATTAAAACACACCTATTATTAAATGGGGAGGATGTTGCTGAAACACTTAATATTTTGGAAAATTATCTTTGTCAAAGTAATATATGGTGATACTAAGAAAAATGATCCACTGAAAAAAAAAAAAGGTGATATCAGATTTAAATGATGGACATTTGTTATTTCTTTCTAATTCTGGGAAAAGGACAAAAAGAATGGGAGGAAATCAAGGAAAAAGAATGAAATCCTTAACAAGAGATAATAGTTCAGTGATTGAACATACATGAAATGGCTTAATTGATGTTTGTATATATTTGCTAAGCAATGGGTCTAATTTTATTATCCTTAGTGAATTTACCACAGACTATTTAGAAAAAGAATTTGAAAAATTAAGACAATGTTCTGGAGGTGCTTATTTTTATAACAGTTCAAAATGTTATTGGAAAATTAAATGTTGACAAAACTAAACTACTACTTAAATGTTGAAGTCAAAGAATATAACAACTTTGATCCAGGCCTTAATTGTTTAAAATGTGAAAATTTACTGGATGAAATGGAATGCCAAACATTTGATAACTTACCAGGCCTTAAGACTAGGACCCCAAAAGATATTAAAATGTCACTTTGCCAGGCTATGTTACAAAAAGATTGTCCCACAGAAGAGGAAATATTTAATAATATTAGTTCTTATTTTTAAGAATATGAACATTTTTGAAAAAAATATATTGTGGTTATTTAAAAATTTCACTGGATACCAGATATTTCCCTCTTTATACATATATTTGGATAACTGCCCAAATTATCCTGTTAATTAATTTTGTTCTTGTTAATGTAAATTGATTTTAATTTTTAAAACTATATGTACTGGTAATATCTATTATTGTATCATAGCAAAATAAATATTTTCTTTATTTTGTAAAGATTATAAAAATTATTGTTTCTCTGAAATTCACATTTTTTTGTAAAGTATTTTCAGACTTTGTTGATACATGATTTTTTAAAATGTTAAAATTGCTTTTTGATTATATTATACAACTATATTTTCTGTAATCAATTTGCATAAACAAATTAACTCATTATTTTTGCAATATTATCAAAAATGTTTAATTTATGGTGAATAAAGGAATTTTTGTGCATTTAGTTATTTTTGTTCTTTCTTTGTATATTTGCATTTATGGAAATAAGTCAATAGTTGTTAATGAACTAATTGCTGAACATTACTAACAAGTTCCTTGCTAAAAAATCTTCTCAGTAATTGTTATTTAGTAGTAATTTAGGCCTCCACAAGTCTAACCCCAGTCACATGGTTGCCAGGCCTGATATAAGTATCACCTTGTTTCAACTACATTCACATGAAAGTCACAACAATCTCAATAAAATAGACTTTGTTCATGACTAAATATCCTACACTTTTTTTTTCTCTTTTACCTCACTTGCCCTGAATATCACTGGAAGGGAAATGGTTTCAATAACATTTTGAACTATTATAAAATATGCACCTCCAGAACTTTGTCTTAATTTTTCAAATTCTTTTTCTAAATAGTCTCTTGTAAATTCACTAAGGATAATAAAATTAAACCCATTGCTTAGCAAATATATACAAACATCAATTAAGCCATTTCATTAACAAGTGTTTGAGTGGGACAAGATCCAATGTTGTCTAGTATTTTAAAAGTTGTTGGCTGTTGTAGGTTAAATTGTTAATTCCAAAATTTGTGCCATAGATTTTAGAATTTTGCCTGTGTTCTTCACACTATTGAGATAATCATCCAGATTTCTATTTGTGCTTGGCTTCAAAATGAACCAACTCCTGTCTGGAATTTAGTGAGAAAGCAATCATTTGCCCTTAGGGGATCTGTGTTTTAAGCATTAGTCTTGACCTTATCTAACTTCTAAGAAAATACATGGGGTCTTTGGTTAGTTTAGGCCATTACCATTTTGATTGAACTGAAATATTTTTCTTTCATGTTTTGAATATATTCAAACTATCAATCAAGTCTAAGGTGTGAACTTTAACCTGTGCCAATAAGGACTCCCAAGGAAAGTGTCATTAGATCATCAATTTTAAACTTGAATCCTGATGCCTTGCACCAATTATTTTATCATTTAAATCTTAACCTTTTACTTTTCTGCTGTAACATAATAAGTCAGTCAGGAACGTTGTAGGTGATGTTTTTAATGTTCAGTTTCATCTGAAACCATTTTAAGAAATTCACATGAAAGGACAAAGCATCCATTTTATTCCTTGATAAGCAACTTCTTACAACCAAGAAAGGATTCCTCCTCCTTCTCCCCCAAAATTCAGATGTTTAGTCACATTTTGGAAACTTGGTCAGGCCAAGGACTTTTGCACATACCTTCTATAAAGGAAGTGAAGGCTGAAAAAGTTCCTGTTTTTTGGGGGTTTTTTTTTTAAAAAAAAAAAAAAAAAAAAAAAGGAAAGAAAAGTTTTTTTTTAAATGTGAACTTATGTAAATGCCAAATATTATTTATATTGATATAATGTATATTATAAATGTCAAATGACTTGAAAAAATTCCATTCCTCTTTTTTTTTTATAAAAGTTTACAATGTTTTGATAATTAGTGTAGTGATTTCAATCCTCATTGGGCACCACCACTATTATTGCCCTGTGCTAAGCTTAATAAATAAATAACACACGCACGCACACATATATATATATATATATATATATATATATATATATATATATATATATATATATATATATGCTATTATCTGAATTTTGTAATTGATTCCATATTGTAATAAATCAAGATAATAATATCACAGAATCAACAAATCAACAAGACCTGCAAAAAGTCAACTTTTTACCTTAAATCAAACCCTGGCCTTGTCCCAACCCTGTTTGATGGCTAAAATAGTTGAAGCATCTTGTAAAAGTCTCAAAAAACACTGACATTTTAATAAAGAATTTGTTGTTGTTGGTGGTGGTGGTTAATTCAAGGATCAAGGGAGAGAAACTTCCTTCTACTCACCCCCACAACTCCAGTTCATACTGTAATTTTGTTCCATTTTTTAAACTTAAAATTAGCTTGTGCCTATCAAGCCTTTTCTTGTGACCTTTTAACCTCTTAGACTTCATTACAGAGATGAAGGGTACCTTACTATTTATTCAGCTGGGGAACGGACAGTGGGGAAGTAATTATTGTCCTTATTGGGAGAATTGGTTTCTTTATAAAGATGATTAGTAAAAATAGTGAACATAAATTTAAGTGGGATTTGAACTCAGATCATTGATCCGATTTTCTGTGATGTTAACCATTTTGCCTTTTTACACTGAGCTGACCAGTCATTCAACTGTATTCTTTAATAAGAAAAAGGAAATTAACGATCATTTATCATTCAATCACACTTTACTGTAAAACTTGTCTTCAGGAAATATTCCTCATATAAATTGCAAGGCAAATGGAAGAGTTTACATCATTTCATTTAACCTGTTAATGTCCAGCGTCTTGTGTCTAGAATCAATATACTATGATCCAAGCTAAATAAGAAATATTTCCATTAAAATGTTTTTTCTTACCTGTAGTTTCATGCCAAATAAATCAACAAATCTGTCTCCAGAGAATGTTGCAATTAAATCATTTTGGTAAAATGTTGAAACATTTAGCAAATAAACGGTGCCTGCCTGGTACAGAGTCATAGGAAAGAATCCATCAGATCCTTTTACATCTGGGAAAATAAAATGATATCAACTAGAATTTGGAATTTATTTAAAGTAGGAAAATTTAATTATATAAAATCCTTTCACTTGCATAAACAATTTTGTGTTTATGTGCGTGTTGCAGCTTAATGGAAAATTAAATCAGCAACCCAGATTTGATTTCCATTTGGACTGGGGTTCACTTAACGCTCGTATTCTTGAGAAAGGCATGAATTCACTTCACTGTTCTTTGTCCTATCACTATTCTCTACACATAGTTTAGGTGAAATGTTTTATTTGACAAATTTTAATCCAGCAGATAATCCTAGTGGATTAAAGAGCAGGATGACATAATAACCTTGAACTCTATGGGTCAAATCTCACTCACAGCACTTACATTTTGCTTTTAAGAAATTAATGGATTTGTTTTTTTATCTATAATTCAATATTTTTTCTTATTATGAAAAGCATTATAAGCATTATATTTAGTGTATACACATATTTGATTAAACACTTCAGTTTTTTAAACAGTCAATGTCTACTGGCTTGGGCATTCAAGAACTTAATAAACAAAATACACCTTGAACATATGCTTCCTCTTATATAGGCTATACAGGCTGAAAACCTGATGAATTCTTTATTAACCCTTGAATTCCAGTAGATATTAGAATATATTTTCTATAATACTCACACAATATAGAATTATATGAAGCTGTGCAAAAACGTTCTTGCCCCAACCCACTTCCCTTAAAATCTGACAAAATGGCTACAATATCAGTTACTATAAAGAATGGACAAACATGGCCACAGTAACAGTGTCAAAGGGACAGTTTTTTCTATGATACCACTTTTATAACTACCTTCAATTTTCAGCAATGTTTATTGTTTTAAAAAGTGATAATTTGAATTGGAAGAAAATGTAAACATATGATGAAAGTGAATTTATATATTTTTACTGTAAATTCTCAAGAACATTAAACACTATTTATTAGATTGTTTATTTACAAGAATAATTTTATATTTACAACATTCTAAAAACTAATAAAAAATTATGCAATTTATTTATCATTGACCAATTTATAAATAAATGTGAAAACAATTTTTTATGCATAAATTTATAAACATTTACTATGTTATTAAAATATGTGAACCTTGTTATTTACCATTTTATAAAGTTTGAAGCAATTAGCCAATGTTTTGCCAACCATTCTAATAAATAACATAATAAATCAATAGTGTAAACAAACAATCTAACAAATGTGAAGCATTGTAAAATTAAACCTGAACAAAATAAAAGGGAAAAAAAGGTGAGGAAATGAGAGTTCTTACTATTTGATGTAGCACCAACAGCCAAAACCAAAGATTTGGATTGAAATGGCTTTCCAAAAGCAAGTGAGGAACCAAATTGGCTTAAATTCATCTTTGGTCCCAAAATGTCTGAAAGATAAACAGGCATCCTGCCAATGCCAAGGAAATAAAGATGTACACGGCCAATACCTTGATGATCATTGCTGGAGAAAGTGCAGTTGGTACTAAAAATAGACAAATGAAAATTAATTTTATTAAGGCAAACATTTGTGGACCAATTTCTTAACAATTTTCAAGTAATTATAGTTTAACACAATCCCATTTTAGTAATATCACCAAATTGTAATCAGTATGAATTGGCAAGATAACATTCACAAGAACAGGGGAATAGCATACTCATAGTGAAGTGGTTAACAGGCTAGACTGATGACCATAAATTAAATTATATCATATCAAAAGATACACTGACCAAATCTGAAGTAAAAAAAAAAAACAAACAAATGAATGAATGAAATCATACAAACATCTTCCATATTGATTTGGTAACCATGACAGAAATGATTCAGTTTCAAATCATTTTCAGTGTTTCTTCATTTTAGAAAATAAAAATAAATTTTTCTTCTTATCTTATTGACTAATCAAAGAAACAATAAAAACAACTGATTTAAAGACATTATGCAAGCAAATGTCATCTTTTTATTACTGTCAACACAAAAGATGCATAAAAATTTATATAATAGGAAAGTAATGTAAAATTATATAAAAAGAATTAAAAGGAAAATAAAAAGAATAATACTCTAGGTTTGTTTATTATACTTTCTTTTGAGGGAAAGTGTTTTAAAAAATATTTATTAAACAAAGAAAGTTACTAACATGTATTCTTTAAATAGAAAACTGCTAAAATGAAGCCAAACAGTAAAAATGGCCCGAATAAAATTTGATGTTTAAAACTTTGTATATGTGAGGCTTGAATTGATGTTGTAAAAATACCACCTGATGGGTTATAAAAAACATGTATAAAATTTAGTTTACAAATTTTTAAAATAAGACTTTTTATTGCCTCACAACCCACCTAAATAAAGTTTCCAAATAGGTGTGGTTTAAAGAGATAAATTTATATCTTTTTTAATCAATAAGGAAAGTAAGTTACAATCCAAAATCAGCAAATTTCTGATTCAAAGAGGAGTTAATATGTGACTATTTAAGAAGTCTGGTTTGTTTGATAAAAAACAAGGGATTTACATTTCACAAGGAAGACTTTAGCTGGTTGCTGAAATTAGATGAAGAAGAAGAAAAATCAGAAGGAATTAAGCTTTTACCATTTTTACTTTTTTTAGGGATTTGAACAAAAGAAAAACTAAAAGCTGCCATCTCCTAAGATGGCAAAAGAAAGAAAAGGAAGAAACAGAAGAAAGCAGAAGTTTCTACATACACACACACATATATATATATATATATATATATATATATATATGAGATTATCTTTCTATAGTTGTTTATGAAAGTTTCTCACAAAATTACAGGTATTAATCTTGATTTTGAACTTTTATGAATATACAAGATTTATCTCATCTCAATTTTTAGAACTGAACTCTTGTCTAAACAAACCAGAAATCCAACGACACTTATGAATAGTCAACCTTCTTAACTCCTTTCAACAGAGTCTAATGAATGGAAAGAAGTAAACATTTTGTTGCAATTGTTTTTATAAACGCAAAAGAATTGTAATTAAAATTTGTTATCATGCCTAAATTTTAGGCACACATTGTAAATGCTGGATTCTGTGCTATTATTTTTATGTCACTTAATAAATTTAAATTTATTTCAAATTTTAAACCGGAGTAAGAGTCTTGTTTTTTCTTTTGAACCTTTCATAATACTTGGGATAAGAAATTTGAGATTCAATCTTCTTCTCATTAAAAAAAAAAAAAAATTCCTTTTCATGAAAATAATTAAAAAATTGTAGTTAAATAAAATTTTATGAAGAAAAGTATTTCATACTTTGATACTAATTTATATTTCTTACTAATCTAAACATTTTTAAATTTTATATCTGAAGTAATAAATATAATTCAGATATTTATCTAATAGGACAAAACTCTTGTTAGTGCATGGGAAACTCCCCTTAGGAGGCTTGAGGCAATGAATAAGATTGTTGTTGGGAAAGAAGGTTAGGTTAATAATAATAATAATAAATAGTCTTTATTTAATATCAGATTTTAAAAAATATATATACAGACTTTAAACAGGAGGAGAGACTTACATCTAAGGTACTCTTCCGCCAAACTCTCCAATGAGACATTTTAATAAAAGAAAGAATAATACAAGAAGGAAATTCAGAAATTGTGTTTATAAACATTTGAATATTAAATAAACTTAGTAAAATTTAATAAAATCCAGTAGGAGTGAATTTTAACCTTTTTTTCGCTCTTTGATACCACTTGTCAAAGAATGATGAATGATAATTTTTCTTTTCTGTTTGTTAGGCTGGAAGTTGGGATTGGATGAGATTATATGTAATTGTATTATAAGACAAAATTTGTGATATAATCCATGATTTTTTAAAATTGGATCAAGGTCTGGTATTGTCATATTGCAGATGAAAGATTGTCTCCTTTTGCTGAATCTTAAAATTTGAATTTTCAGTCTCATCATCGTTATGATGTAACACTCAGTATTAATAGTTTTTTCAAATTCAATGAAATCCAGGAAGATCACATTTTTTCTATTCCCAAAAGTGAATGAACAGACCTGCTGCTGCCAACCCATAGTGGTGAGACTATATCTTGTCACCAATGAGAATGCACTTGAGGAAACTGTCACTTTTAGTCTAATGGTGGTTCAGCAAGCTCTGACATATTTGTGATCTTTCTCTGCTTGTGTGAGCATCTGTGGCACTCACCTAGCAGAAACTTTGCAGTATCTCAATGTTGCTAAACATTCAGTCCAGTACACAGTTCTCTGGTCATAATATGCAGATGAGATAGTCAAAACACTCTTATTTCACCTGTGTTGGGACCCTCAGAATGAGTCTTGTTACACATCACTGTTGCTACTACTGAAATGCATTTCCCACCATTAACTGTGATTACATCCATTGTTTGATCTCTAAATATTCAGCCAGCATTGATAATTGAGAAATTCAATGACACACATCTGTTTTGTATGCAGTTTCATGTCAGACAGATGCCATTTTGCCAGTGCTACTCAGCTGCTATATGTAAATAAGATAAAAATGATGGGTTATTGGTATACTGCCAACATCCTCCTCTGATATCAATATAATAAAGTAAGAAGCTTTAATTTCAAAGCAACCCTCATATATTGCTTTAAAAAATAGTTACTTCCCTTGAGTAAAAGCATAATTACATAATTACCTCCCCTGATCAAACAAGATAAGCATCTTTGTTTTCCTGTAGAAGTTTCTGCTCACAGATATGAATACCATAATAGAAACAGTTTTAAAAACTTATAATGCGGCTGAGGAGGTTAGTGGCTCAGGTTGAGGAATCAGAGAGCCGAGTTCAAATTCCAGTCGAGTTTGTTACATTAAAAAATTATGGGTTATTGGCATAGCACCAACACCATCCTCTGATATTAACCTTGGGAAAGACATGAATCTATTTCTTCTCCCCCACTATAGGTAAAATAGCAAGACAGACTGGGTTATATAACCTTGGTTGGCAGCCAGTCTAGGAGAAGGAAAACTGAATTTAAATCAGCCTGGAGAGGGTTGGGCTACATCAGGCTCTCTTGCCCAGGAAACACCACTGCTGCTGTGGTAGCAGTTACATGTGGGGCCCCTATAACCCTCAGGGGTTACAGGACTCATGATTGTTAATCCAGTGGATAAGTAGAAAGATTAAAAAATTTGACATCATTTAAAATTACTTAAATTTATGAAAATGTAATTACCAATTCTCTTGCAGAATATTTCTATTGTTCACAGCGAATGGGTGTTTCTAAAAGTTCTGTATGGTTGGGAGAAAAATATGGAGCAGGTTAGCACTTGTATAGCTGCCCCAAATAATTGACCTGTCACTCAGCCTGCAAGGCACTAATCATCTAGATTCAATCAAAAGAATGGTTTCTACTCACAATTCACAGATTCTGTATGTGGGTTCTCCAATAGCCAAAAGTTTTCCTGGTTTCTCTGAGAAAACATTTTCTTTAGACACGGCCATGCTATATCCAAACCAGCCAAAATCCTTAACATAAGAGGGTAAAAAAAAATGCCGACAATAAATAATAGTTGCCATGATCAAATATGTTATTTTCACTCTGCAAAAAAAAAAAAAAAAATTAAAAATCTAGCTAAAAAAATACCAAAAATACTCCCATTATTGGAAATTTTAAAAAGAAAATTAAGAAACATTTAAACATATAAATCCTCAAAAATCAACCTGCTATGCTTAAATACCTACTGTTAGATTAAGTCATGGAAAACAGGACAGATTCAGGTTTGAGAGAGCCAACACAAAACTTGACCAGCGTCTATTAGGTACCAGAAGAAAGAAGTTAGGGAGAAAATGGATGTATCAGGGAGTGAGAATCATGTTCCTTAACATCGATTAGGGAGCATACATTAAACTGTAATACAAAGGGTGTATACATTAAACAATAATGTAACATCCCCACTTTTGTAAGTAGAGACTACGGTCTCACATACAGTCCTTGACCAATTTGACATAGTCCTTCAGATATGTTCGCTGTTGTATCCCTCATCCAGCAGGAGATTCACATTTTTCTGGTTCGGTTGTATTAGTGCCTTTGTTCACAACAATTGAGGCTGGTGAGGATACTTTTAGGGGTGCAAGGGCTCTTTGTGTTTGTGCTATATCATGTGGCAAACTTAGTGTCAGTAGAAGTTGGTGGTGGCTGACCATTTCTTGAATGCTCTGCTGGTTCAGAAGATTTACGCAGATAATGTCTATTTCCCTGATAGGTTCCACTCGATGTCAGGATTTGAGCATTCATTCAATTGGTAATTTATAACACCTTTCTCCCTCACCTGATAACTTTTCTTGTACAGGCACATTTGTACAATATCACCTTCACTCAGCACAGGGAAATCATAGGTGTGACGGTCATGGTATTTGGCCTAAACCTTCTGTCTGTGCTCTAGTAGAGACTTGTCAATTAGTTCAAGGCTTGCCATCCTAAGGTTTAGCAAATTCCTCCACATGAGGAGATGTGTACAGGTGCAGCAATTTAGCAGTTGCTGAGAAGGGCTGCTTTCCATTCCTTAGGTTGGGGTGTTTGTGGCATCAAGTAGTGCCAGAAACTAATCCATGTGGTTGTCTTTGTTTTGCATGCTTAACTGCAGATTAGGCTTTGCCATTTGATATCTGATATCTGATGTCCAAAATCTGATTTTTTTAGAAGTTCTTGAAGGATGAAGACATAAACTAGGGTCCTGCCTCAGAAATCAACTAACATGGAATCCCATATCTTGCAAAGTGAGCCTTCAATTTACGGATGACAGTTGAGGCAGTAGTGTCCCTAAGTCAATCTATTTCCCCATAGTTCAAAAAATAGTCGACAGTCACACAGTACTCGATGCTGTCAAATTCAAATAAATCAACACCAACCTTCTGTCATGGATGATCAGGTATGATGTGTGGTATTAGTGTCTCCTTTTTAACTTAAGGGATCATGGACATTGGCATGCATCCTGCTGTGGCAATATGTGGTGTGACACTTCCATCAACTTGAGATGAACTTGCCCAGATAATGATCCTAGTTCACCATTGAAGACATTTGCATAGTCCGTTAGTAGCTGCTTGTACTCTTAGTAACGTTATCTTAGTGCACAGTAATTAGGTTCATTTGTTTGATTGCACACTTTCCTAACAAAGGGGGGCAGATTCTCTCTGACTACAATGAATTCCACTGAATATTTTTCCTATTTTTGGGGGATTGTGCAGCACATTTTCCAATTGGCTTTAGTTCTGTCCCATTCCACATTTTGAGTTTAGTAGATTGTTACAGGTAGGTATTGCACATATATTTCTGTGAGATTACATTGATGGTAACTCCACAGTCCACTTGGAACTTCACCTTCCTTTTTGCCAGTATATCATATTTGCATAGATAATCTTATCTGGATGTTCTCTCTCTCCGAGTTTACACATAACACATATTCACATTCAGTTAATTTTATGATTAGTCTTAACCTGTTTTTTTCCCCATAGAACACTTCCTTGGAAATTTCAATGTAAAATCGTTTCTACCGTTGCAAAATTTACATTTTGGCCCACGCGGGACATGCTTCTTTCTGTTTTTCTTATGTCTTGTCACAGAAATTACAGTCTATTTTTCCCTATTTACGGTATTTCTGTTTGTAACTTTGTTTTTGAAATCTGTTTATTTCGTCTGTCACGTCCAGGTCTTGCGTAGCTTTCAACTGTGTAGTCACAGCTTCACAATTTCGGTATATGTCAATACATTGTTTGAGAGTTAGTGCTGAAAGCTGTAGCATTCTTTACGTGTCTGATTGTCTCTTACACCCAGCACTATGCGGTTGCATAGCAAAGAATCGTGTAAGCATTCACAAGAATTACAAGACTTTGATTCATAACTATGCTTCGTAACCTAGCAATGTCCTCACCTTGTTCCTTGTTTTTTCTATTGAAGACATATTGTTCATACAACTCATTGGTTTGACCAATAAAATGTTGATCTATCTTGGCTATTACCGTGTCCAAGTCATCTTTCTTTTCCGTTGAAGCGAACTGAAAACCGTTGTAAACTATTAACACATCTGGTCCGGTCGCGTGAAGAAATAGTGTCATTTGGTATTCTTTTCTTTATTTTGCACAGTTTGGTTACTATGCTGCAATTATTCCACATCTGTATCTGTCTATATTTCTGACATAAGGTATTATGTGCACTATTTTTTTTTGCTCAGACAATCATCCTCACCTTTGTTGCCATATTTATCACAATGTTTCGGCCGTTGTACACTCTGGCCTTCTTCAGGTGGTTGGAATGTTGAACTGAACCCTTTATTTCACTGGGTTAGACTGTTCTAGTTCCACATGCCATGTCTAATGGATGTCAGTCATCAGTTATTCCCCTCTCCAAGGCAGTGGAGAACTTGGAGAGGGGAATAACTGATAACTGACATCCATTAGACATGGCACGTGGAACTAGAAGAGTGATAAATCCATTTTTATTATTTTAAACAAAACCGATTACAATGTAAAACTTCACTATTCTCAACAACAGAGCAGCCAAATTCAAAAAATTAAACAAAACCATCATCAGCCTCCTCACGGTACACAAACTTTTCACAGTTAAAAATAGAGAAATCAGATCCACAAAGCCTAGAAAATAATAGCTACGTATTACAGATGGAAATGTAAAGAAATTAAAACAAAAACACAAACATAGCTCAATCCTACATTTTGTAATTTTACAAATCTCTACTTGTATATATTACTTATTCCAAATTCTAAACCAATTGATTCTGCCATATTTACCTAGGGATAGAGTGTTGAGGCCACGGAAGAATTTCTTGAAATATTGCACTCAAATAACCTTAATAACAGCATCCTAGCCACATTAGACATTGAAAGTCAATGTCCCTGTCAAAGAAACTATAAATATGGTATTAGGAAATATATATAAACATTCTCTGCTTCCAGTTCCTAATATTAGACCAACAGTTTTATGTAAACTTCTATCTTACATGACACAAGTATGTTTTTATAATCATTATGATAAGAATTACACAAAGACTGACAGCATAGTTATGGGTTCACCTCTCAGCCCTACTTTATCTAATTTCTACATAACCCATGTAGAAAACAAAATCTTTAATAATGTTACCAGGCATGCTATATATATATTCAAATATATCAATTTTTTCATACAAACAAAAAACCTAAACAAAAAAAAATCCTTAGAAAACATTTGAGAATAACTCCATCCTACAGTTTGCTTATAAAGTTAATACTAATAACAGAATCCCTTTCTTTTTAGTAAACACCAACAGTCATAATTTTACTAGTTCACTGTTTAAAAAATGGCTTCTAAATTACAAGTGAAGTCCTCACATATGTAAAAAAGCTTTTATAAGAACACATGATTAAACATGCAAAAATAATTTCCTCTTCAGACACATTAGTACATAAAGAATTAAGTAACATAAAACAAACACTTAACAATAATTTGCCCAACCATGTCATTGAGGAGTAAATAAAATTAGCCTTAGATCAAGAAAAAAAAAATAAAAAGTAATCATCTCTGTATAAACAAAATTAAAAACACCGTTTACTTATTCTATTGTAACCAGATAACCACTCAACTATAAAGAAGATGTAGTGACACTATGAGCAGAAACAGGAAGTTACTTCTTTCATAGCTTAAAACATAGTAACATATTTTGTGTTTTACGCAATAGGCTCCACACATAACTCCCAGTTGAACTTGATTAAATTACAATCCTAAATAAATATATGTTGACCAATGAGAAATGAGCATGCTTAAAATAATCAACAACTTAATTGGAGCCTTTTTCAACTTTGCTGATAGTATAAATAGATCCCTGTCTAGGACAACAAAAGATTCCAACAGAAGTTGCAGAGAGACAAACACTTACAACTGTGAGTGAATACATCAAAGAGATCTCGACTTCAACAACCACTACCACTCCTCACACCTCTCTCACCATTTTCACCTCTTTTATTTCTCTCATACATTCAACTTATCACAACTAAAAAATCACTTATTCACTGAACACATTACCAAATGAAACTTTTATTTAATTTTACCTAAATTATAAATAACAATTTGTGCCATCTATATCTGTATTACTACTGTTTTTGTAAAATACAGAACCACTATTTAATGTTTATAAAAATTATTATTGATTAATTAATACATTTTCTGTTATTAAAATCTCATTGTGAAGCGATTTACGCAGAGAGGCGGCTTGTTAACAGGGCAGGATACCTGGCAGGATGGATCTGATGTTGCAACACCCGAATTCCGTAATGAAGCCAAGATATCATCACTGATGACCTCTACCATTGCATTTTATAAATGTACTTTAAGAACTTGATTGTTTTTAAAAGAAAAACACAATAAATGATTTATCATGTTTTCCTTAGACCTTCATATATCCTTTATAGTGAGTTAATCTTGATAAGGCCCAAATCTAACTCCAAATAACCCACTATAAAGAAAAGCCATTAAAAATAGAATTCATCAGTACATATCACTTAATGATATAATAACTCAGTAACTCAAAAATCCTGCCTATGTCAAAAAAAAACCCCAAACAAACAACAACATATATGAATTCTTTGGAAGATTGCATCTATAATATCAATAATCAAAACTCTTATATTGGTCACACATAAACCACACTCTCTCACAGACTGATTTGTCAATACAGTGCAATTTGTGCACATATCTATCACATCACAAACAACCAAAATACAACTATTAACACAAGACAAATATTAGTAGATAATACTGAAATATTATACAGCACTCAGTGCAAAGAAAGTCTGAAAATTCTAAATGCCATTAAAATACAAAAACAAGCAACATTAAAAAGAATATCTTTCACCAGAGGTGAAGTGTCTATGAAATATTTTAATATGCACATAAAAGATATGAATATATATATAAATATTTGAAAGCTGCTTTTCTGGTGAGGTCTAGCTTACTTTAATAGGTTACATCACTTTAGACTAATTCAAATTCCAGTGCTCTTAAAAAAAAAAAAAAAAAATCTTGTTTACAATACTGACAGCACTCAGTTCTTGATAATGACAAAGATGGCTGAGAGTACTTGAACAAAAACAAAACATTAATTTTCAACAGTTTATTTATAATTCTGATGTCAATATACATCTTATTTAAAAATTGGTAAACTGCAATAAAAAATTAAACAAACATTCACACACAACATTATTTGTACGTAAAATCATTTTATAGAAACAAATATATTTGTATGCAAAAAACAAGTTTGTTTTTTTTTTATCAGAATTATTTTAGCATTTTTTATTTATTTGTATCAACAAAGTAACCATGTCCAGTGGTCCCATTTGAAATTTAGCTCTTCTTACTAACAAGTAACCAACATACAATCATTTTGCTTGGCTAGAACAACTTAAAAATTTAATTCACTTCTGAATACCCTCCACCCATGTATATAAAGCTGACAGATATTTTTTATAGCAAAAGCTCTTGTTTTTGTACTTCTCGACCAAAGACGGACATTTTATTTCAAAAACGATCTTAACAACGAGGCAGAGTGCAGCATAAATGGAGAACTGATCATTTCAAACTTTCTTCCATGCCTAGTAAAAGAACAGATATGAAAATAAAATATTTTCAGACTTCTTGCCCGACTTTCTAAGATAAGAAGTCATTATTTGCAATTGGACTAATGTCCTCATTTTTGTTGCTACAAGTGCCTTGAGAATTAAAACATTGGTTCTTGAATGTGATAGCATAGTTATTGTAAGTTCAATCCCTGGGCAAGGTAGCATACATTCAGTGGGAAACAACTGAGCAGATATCCCTAGACATAGATGGCAGAACGAGGACAATCTAACCCCACATAGATTAAATAATGTGTTCAGTTCAAAATTCTCTGAAGATTACTGGATTGACAGCTGGAGAGTACAATGACCAAAACATTGTGACAATAAAAACAAAGATGAGGACATTAGTCTGACTGTAAAATAATGTAAATATTCAGACTTGTAGACATTTAATTGAACAGACCTCTTCTTAGCAATTGATTAAGCAAAATGTAGAACTGAAACAACAAAGATGAGGATATTAATTGGAGTAAACTGTAAATATATCAAGTTGTAAACATTTAACCTACTGGAAATTTCTTTACATTGTGGTTAATTTATTTCATAGATCTATAAATAACTAACATTTATTTTAATTTATTTAATTTTAAAATGATGCCATTCCAGTTCCATTGCTCACCCTAATCATCTCATGCTTTGAATCAAAGAATCATTTTGCAAGGAAAATTAAAACAAGAAATATTATTTTACATAAATTTCCCTATTTTATATTTTTTATTCCGTGCAGGTATATTTCTTTTATCCTGGAGTATAATTCAATTCAATGTTACAGTATCAGAATGTCCCCTGACCATAAATTTAGTGTAATAAGGAGGTGCTGTCTTGGAGGTAAATCTCCAGGCACCAAGCTAGAATTACTGTTGATGATGAGTTACAAGTTTCTTTATATTCTAATGCAATACCAACAATTTCTGAAATGCTTCCAAGAGTTTGGAAGATAGTTAAAAAAAAATTATATGAAAGAAAATGTTACAGTTATGACGTAGAAAAATTCAGATGAATGAGAATTTTCAACTTTTGCATTAAGTCTACTCATTGGAAAGAATGATTAAAGCTGGATGAGGTTTTCTTTAATCATCTCACTCCATCAAGGCAATAAAGCCACTGAGACATAATGAGTTACTGAGATTGAAAGTAAGCAAGAAAACATTACCGAAGAGAAAAAACAGTAGAAGAACAGGATTCTAAATAACAAAAGCTGATGATTGACATTGCATTTAAAATTTTGAAGATCATAGTTGACTTATAATGGCTGATAATTAAACATTTTCACCTATTGAAAACATAGTGCAATAACTTTATAATTAGATAATAAAATAGTAACATGTTTTATAGTTCTATGAAATGACCAACCTCGAGAATATGACTGAGGGTCAAAGGGATACAAAATATCTGCTTACCTGACTCCCACACTGCATCCAATCCAGTTGGTCAAATTCCATTGTCTTTGCAGCTAGGAAAAAATGAGGAATATTGGTCTTTAAAGAAAACATTAAAGAATCAAATTTAATTACAGAATAATTATTAACATGAAATCTAATCAAATGAAGTAAAAAAAAAAAAAAAAAAAATAAAGATTGCAAAGTCAATATTTCTTTCTCCTCAATCTACACTTTTTACCTAGTAGAAGTTTTTGTAAGTTTAGTGCATTAATAGCGAAACAGATAAAATAAAAATGTTTAAATTTATCTTCCCAACACTGAGTTTCACAGAAAAGGTATCTGCTCATCAGTTGTTTAGATAGTAAATTGATTTATCTGTAAATAAATTAAATTTACTAGCTAACCACCTGATGAGCTGATATATTTTCTGTGAAACTATGAGTCAGGAAGATGAGTCTGAACACACACATATATATATATATATATATATATATATATATATATATATATATATATTTGAACAAGGACTTGACAACACAGAACATAAATACAGTTTTAAAAATACACAAAGGCATATATAATCGACTCTCCCATCGAGATTCAATGTATGAGGGTCACGCAGATCAGTTTCCAGGAAACCGACAGCCCGACACATGAGATTTGATTATAGTGGTGAAGGCCTCGTGCAGGACCATCCACACTTTTTGAAGGGACGAATACAGAGACCTGGTGCATCGAATGCCACAAGGTTCCCAAACGACCCTCCGCAGGTTTTGAATTCAGAGTTGTCCTTCTCCTAGACCAGTTGCCATCCAAGGCTATAGAACCCAGTCTGTCCTGCTATTTTACCCATAGCTGGAGGGAGAGGAAGAGGATTCATACCTTTCCCAAGGGTATTAGCACGTAAGTGAATGTAATGGATTCGACTGAATTAACTCGCTCTGCATTCCTCAATCCAAGCCGCTATCCATTACTCCAACATGCCTCAAAAGGCATATATATATATATATATATATATATATATATATATATTAGTCATTCATATACAAGCCTGTTTTGCTGTATCACAGCTCATCAGTGTGGCTAGACATCTGATTGCTTCAAGCCAGGATCGAATCTCAATCAATTTGGCATCAATCAGAGATTCTACCACCAAGCTATCAGCGCACGTCCGAGAAAGTGAAGTTTTTAATGTATTATATACATGATGTATATAAACACCAGTAACCAATAACACTCAATTCATAACTGAAGAGCAATGAGTTAAATACCACGAGCAGCCACTTCTTTTCTTTTTTTTTTTACTTTACCGTTTCTTTAGAGTGCTCAATCGGGAAGCGATATAACAAATTAATCAAAGTTTAACAGAAATAAAATTAAATTTCTCCTGACATTTTATTTACTTGGAAGAGTTAAATATTGCTACAGATGATGTCATTTTATTTCTATAACATGTTATTTCAAAAGAAAGCCAAAAATTTCCTTACCTTTGAGGTCTGCATGAGCCAAAAGACTTGCAACACAGCCTCTTTGAGATCCAGAAGCAGCAAAGAAAGGTGTCGAAATGAGAAGGTCATCTTGTCCATCACCATTAATATCAGCTGTGTTTAGTTTCCAACCAACATTACAATAAGTATGCTAAAATTGACAAACATTAAGTATAAATGGCAATTAAAAACTAAATGGTTGGCTTTTGTATTTTTTTAATCTTTTTTTAATGTGAAATAAAATTTCTACAAGTTATTTAACTGAGTTTCATTTTTTTTTTCACCATTAGATCATGTTAAAATTTTGAAATTAAGTTCTGAATTTTATTTATTAAATTCTTTCCATTTACACATATACATATTACTTTTCAATTAATTCTTAAAAAAATTAAATATTTGTTGGGTTCTATGTAACAATGTGAAAGGGCTTTCAACCAAGATAAAAGTCTGTGGTCAGGAACTAAAAATTCAAATATATTGGTTCGATTATCAAAAATGATGATTCCAACATAGAAATAATTTCAAGAGCAGCATAAACAATAGCGGCTGTCACAAAACTAAGAACCATTTGGAAAGCCAAGAACATCTGCCTGAAATCAAAGATCAGACTGTTGTATGCATTGTCCTTCTCAATCTTTCTGTATGTCTGCAAATCTTGGACATTAGTAACAGAATTACAACAAAGAACCCAAGAATTATAAATGAAATGCTACAGAAGCATCCCCCCCCATGTAGACCTCATCACAGTATGAGACATCATCAGACAGGAAACAGTCACAATGGAAGGCACCATATTCACTAGTAAGAAGAGAAAGTTGAAATAGTATAGCCAATAATCATTTCATTGCCATCCTAGAAAGTGTAATAATGAAGGAGTTACCGAGAGAAGGCGTCATTCACCCACCGCAAAAAGAATTTGAATGGCAATATGCACTATTTGTAGCCGTAAGCCAAATTGATTTCAGTGCTATTCAAACCTGAGCCTTGCTTTAACCAGTTGAGGTTGATTTATCAGAGTAGAATGAATGCAGACAAACCAGGATGTTGGGAGAGTGACACAATTTGCATAGGCATATACGAACTTAATCCAAACACCCAGATTGAGTACTTTGGGAGAGAATAAAAGAATGAATGAGATTGATACGAGGAGTTCAGGAGAAAGGTGTTCTTAACAATGTTTCTAAGGGACAGCCACATCAAGCAAGAAACTGAGACGAGTGACCATGTTTCTTTCCTTTTGTATTTTGCTTCTCTTTTTACTTCACAAAGTATCACTTTGGTCAAAAGAAGAGGCAGACATAAGACAAAAAAAAAGGAAGGGGACATCACTGAGTAGCCTGGATAATCATTCACAAAGACTTAGACATGCAACCAAGATATGTGGAGAGAGCTGGTCAGGTGCTCAACTACACAGCACACCCTTATGACCACACCCAATCATGAGACTGATGATAATGATATAACTCTGTACAACCTGCTTTCTGTGACATGGAAAGGAACTGAGTGATAACATCACAGATTCATTAATGTGCTCCCCTGGGGTAGGGATGCCATGAAGGATTGAGTCTGCTACTCTCACCTTTGATCAAATGACATGAAGAATACAAATAGAAATCATTCTTGAATTAAACAATTTATTTCTGTCAAAACAGCATTTTGCATACAATTGCAAATGTCACTGACATTTTAAATCTCATTCAGAATAGAGAACTAACTGCTCTTTTTTCTATCATCTGTAATAAACTGTCAGACAGTTTACATATTAATAATCTGAAAGAACAAGAAGTTTGGTTTATTTTGTTTTACGGCATATCAACCTCAATAGGTTATTTAATGCGACAAGATTTTTATTGCTGGTAATATTTTTTTTTCTTCAAAAATGTGTTGCTGGTAATTATTTTTTACAAAAATGTACTGATGATATTAAAATCTATTTTTATACTTTCATAGTGTTTTGACTCCAGCTTGGTGGGGTTAACTATTATGTCCATAGTTGGGAACCCTAACAGGTACTACCACCCCAGGTCAGAGTGGACCTGGAAACACCACAAATTAAGAGGTGGTTCCACACTCCTCAAAACCTTATAATCAGAGTCCTTGCTGTTGGATGTAATTTATTGTCTTACCCAGGATACCTCATTTGGTGGGGGGGTACCCCTCTGCAGAGGTGCAGTCGGGTATTATGAAACCCAAGCCAACAGTGGAGAACAAAAGGAGGAAAAGTAATGCGATAGTCATTATCAGAATTTTTTTTTCAATGAAACTTTGTCAATTCTTATTAATTTTGATTTATTTTATTGTAACTAGTAATATTGGTTGCAATAATATTATCTTATTTTTTTTTATTAAAGAAAGCATTGCCAGCTATTATTAACTTTTTGATTAATATTTCTTTCATCTTAATTTTATTAATTTCCATTGTAATTATTCAGGTCATAACTATAAGTAAACAAACAGTTATATTATTTCAAATTTTACTATTAGATGAAGCATAATTGACTACTATTATTAGTTATTTTTCACTAATTATTCAGATCATCACTATTATTTTTATTAAATGAAGCATTGCCAGCTATTATTAATTTTTTAATGACTAGTATTTCTTTCATCTTAATTTTAATTATTTTTCACAGTAACTATTCAGACCATCATTCTGTCGCCATCAGTAAACACAAATCAGAAATACAGAATGAATGATGATAATATTATTGCTGTTGATAAAACAAGTGCATGTAAAAATAATAGAGTTGAGCAATTGGGAGAAAATGGAGTCTAAAAGGTTAGATTTGATCTTCATTTTTCTTTATTAGCTTAGGTTTGACCTTCTCTCTGTTATAAGACTTTTGGGAATCAAAACTGGTAAAGCAACTGGTACAATTAATGAAGATTACAAAAGAAACAGGATATGAGTTCAAGTCTTGCTGAGAGCTTTTTCCTTATAAAGTTATTTTTTAACTTCATTATCATCATTTCTACCATTGTTTTTTTACAGGTGATTTCAGTTGATTTTGTTCTGATTTTGTTGGGAAAGTTTGTTAGGTTATGGAACTTGTTCTGCTTACAATTAAGCCTGTGTATCCCATTGTCAATCACTTTACACAAAATCTTACTCTTATGATGGTACCATTACAGTTTGGTTCCTTCAAATAATGGATGTGCCAGATACTGAGAGGTGTACATAGCTTCATAGTTAATGGTACAAAGAATGGCGTCAGAACCCCTATTTTGCATTCACTTTGCACTAATAACCTTGAAAAAGGAATGAAGTTACTTCTCTTCCTCTACTGACTATGGTTTAAATTACCAATTGAGTTTGATTGGTAACAAGTCTAAGAGAAGTACAACTCAAAACTCTAGAGAAATCAATGGGGAACTACTCCAATTTTCCTCCCAAGATCAGGGCAACATCAGCTTACAAATATTAAAAAGAAAAGGAACCTGTGAAGAGAAATGATTGCTTACACTCTGAAGAAAAATGAAGAAGGATCCAGGTCCCAAGAAAATTCCAATCCGAAAAATAATAATTCCAATAACTGAAGAAATTTCACTCCTACCACAAAATCATATTTGAAATCAATTCATTTTCCAACCATCATCAGATGTTGGACTAAAGCACCCTGGGAATAGAACCCATTAACAAGAGCTTTTGAGAACGAATCCCTAACAACAGTATCCCCCAAAATAAGAAACTGCTAATACTTACAGGGTGGCAATGTGGACAGCAGCTCGATTAGAGGAATCGGAGAGCCGAGTTTGAATTCCAGTCGAGTTTATTACATTCACTTACATGCTAATACTCTTGGAAAAGGAATGAATCCATCTCTTATCCCCCAGCAGAACAGACTTGTTTCTATAGCCTTGGTTGGCAACTAGTTTAGGAGAAGAACAACTCTGAATTCAAACCAGAGGGATTGGTCCAAACAGACTTGAGAAAGCCAACCACCTGATGCCTTGTAGATTCTGCTTCCTTATGCAAAAGCTAACTTCAAAAACAAATCCACTTCACATGTTATCTCAAAGAAAGGAACTTGCATCTCCTACTTCAAGCCTCTACAGAAAATAATGGAATCTTAGAGTTTATTAAAATGGTTTGAACAAATTACAAGACTTGGATATTGCACAGCACTATGGTTCTCTGATTTTGGATCATTCACCCCTGGGTTTACTACCCACAACAATGACGAATACTTACAGAGAGAATTTTTTAAGAATACAGAGAATACCATGGACCAAACATGTGAGCAATGACAAAGTTTTAGAAAAAATGGAAAACAAAAAGAACACTTATACTTAACATCAGGAAGAGACAGATGAAATTTTTAGGGCATATAATGAGGAAACAGAGCTTGGAAAATTTGATACTCACAGGACATATTAAAAGCAAGAGGGACAGAAAAAAAACAATGCATAACCTACCTAACAAGCTTGAATAAATAGATAGCATAGCAAGGTTTAGAAGAGATAACAAGAAAACAAAATTTATTACGAGCTAAAAAGAAATTGTAGAGAGCCATGATTGCCTACGTCCTGAAGAGAGTCAGCACATAGAAGAATCATAATTACCTTAGAACATTTAATCACCATATCAGCCTCTCTGGAGGTTCTTTGTTTCATCTTTTCACCAAAGAAAACAAAAACTTCTCCCTAAAAACAGAAAAACATTCAACAAATTCCATTGAAAAAGAAAAACAAATTATTTCCACAATCAATTTAGTAAACAATTGATTTTTTTAGTAAAAAATCTGATTACTCCATCAAAATATGATGTATTTATTTAAACATACAAGAAAAAGAAATTTGGTAAATTAAGTACTTATTAAATAATCAGTAGCAAAAAATGTACATATTAGATATTTATAGATATTTCTATTGGTAGTAAATTTTTATAGGCTTTTTCCTTTTTTTTTTTTATACACACATCTGAACTTAAAACCTTTTACACAGCAAAACTTATCTCTTGGCGGAAAAAAGGACCCTGGCAAATTAAAAAAATAGCTTTCCTTGGTTTAAGAATTTTAATTGTTTATCATAAAAAAAATTGTATTTCTTTAATCTCTTATTAAATGCATTTTAGATGCCAATAAACCTCACTATCTGTCAACATCACCATTAAGCAGTGTTGCTTTATGTAATTATATATTGAGAAAACTGTATAACAAAGTGGAAAAAGTTTACTTGTGACACGTTTCATCATTCAGGACTTCATTGGACTAAATTTGTATGACAAAATTACTAAATTAGTATGAATACACATACACACAAATGAGGGGTGCTGGGGATTTTAAGATTTTTTTTAATATCTAGCCAAATTCATTAAGAGTCTTTTCCTTTTCTTTCCATCAATTTTGTTAGTAGGTATCCCACACAGTGATAACAGAGAATCTGCTAGGAATTGTGAAATGTTGTAAGAGCCAAGATTCAAATTTACTGTAGATGACCTTGCGATCAAGACACTCTCTAGACCAAGGGGTGGCAACCATTGGCACATGTGCCAAACATGACATGCCAATGACTTGTTTCTGACATGCAAAACTTATTCATTAGATTCCCTTTCTGACTTACTTTTATTCTTTCTCCTCTTTTATGTATATTATTATCTCATGTAGTTTTTATTTTCTGCCCATTTACAGATTGGGCAGAATGTCATGATCATCAGCTAAGAAATGATGTCATTCAAATGAAAAGGATATTAGAGAATTTAAAGAATACTGGACTGAAAAATTTGACCTGATTAAGAAAGACAATAAAGTCTTGTGCATTTTCTGTTCCAAAAACAATCATTTGTAGGGCTTCTTCTGTAAAGAGACATTTTGAAAATGTTCATAAGAATTTAAGTAATAAAACTGAGGAGGAAAAAAGAGAATTAATTTCTCATGAACTGAGCAAAACAAAAAAAAAAAAAAACAAAAGCTGATATTTTTTTTATTTCAGGTAGGCCCAGTTCCAACTTAGTTGATCCTAGTTTTGAGGTTTCAAAAGTTATTTTCCTACATGGAAAGCTACTCAATGATTAGGGTTATAATAAAGACTAGCAGTAGAGCCCAGCGTTGCCCAGGGATGTAACAGTAAGAGATAGATCAAGTATCGACCATCATAAAGACTGAAAATAAAATTGACAAAGATTATTGTTTAAGGTTGACGGACACGCATGTCTTAGTTTTTTTTTTTTGAGTTTTTTTTACGAATTGGTCAAACCCAAACTCAAACAAAAGCATTGTTTTCAATTGTTATGAGTCTACCGATTGAATAGAATTTTATTATAAACAATTGTCTTGTAAGTGGAATTTTTAAAGCATTCTGAATGTAAAAATAAAGAAAAAAGTGTGCAAGACAATAAGAAATACTACCTGCCAAAAAAAAAAGTGAAGTTTTGTTGAAATCGGTTGAAAAATGTATGAAATCTGATCCCATATATAAATGAACACACACACACAAACACACACACAAACAACCTGGGTTTTATAATAAGTATAACTCGATATGAGTTGTCCCCCTTTCATTCTGGCGACAGAATCGTGTTTTATCGTATTTTCAAATTGATTTCGTGCAAAAACAATTGTGTTTTTCCAATTTTTGGCGCTGTCAGAACCCCCACAAGGTAATTTTACACAGTCCTGTGAAGTTTTGTTGAAATCGGTTTAAAAATGTAGGAAATCCGATCCAATATATAAACGTACAGACACACACACACAATCTGCATTTTATAATAAGTAAGATGCTTGGTTATAATGTGCATCTTTCCTTTTTGACAATTTTTCAGAAAAGGAAAAGATTATTCAGCACATTAAAGATTTGTCTGTGAATAGGAAAATGGATAAGATACTTAATTTGAAAAGGAATACAGCTGAACAAGTGACAAAAGATTTGTCTTCATGTAAGTTTTTTTCACTATTTGTGTTGATGAAAGTACGGACATTGCATCATCAGCTAGGCTAGCCATGTTTTCTTGATTTTGTATGGAGTGAAGAGATGGTTGCACTTGTAGCACTACCTGAGAATACTTCTGGAGCTGAAATATGTAAAGTAGTTGTGAACAAATTATCTACTTGACAAATTCACATTTCAAAAGTAGTATCTTCCACAACAGATGGCGTCTCCTGCATAATTGGTGAGAAGGCAGGATTTGTTATTTACAAAAGATGTTGGTCATCCACTGATAGGTTTTCATTGCATCATACATGTGGAGGCTTTGCGTGCAAAAGCTGACGTAAAAGAACTTCAGCAAGTGATGCAAACAGTTAACTACATTTCTTAATTATTCTTAATTAATTACATTTCTGCTCAGGCTTTAAGTAAAAGACAATTTCAAATTTTATTGAATAAGGAAGAATCTGTATATAACGGACTGAAAATGTACAACAATGTTCATTGGCTTAACTGAGGTTTGGTTCTGAAACAATTTGTTGAATGCTTAGACGAGAAAGCTCTTTTGGACTGACCAAGAAGTATCTTACCAAGAATTGTTTGACATCATGTGGGTTTGTAAACTAATGTTTTTTTTGCAGATTTTTGTGAACATTTAAATGACTTGAATATTAAATTACAAGGCTCTGGTAAGACACTTGATATGTTTGGTTACATAAAGGCTTTTCAAATGAAACTAAAAGTTTTTAAGAGCTATGTAGATAATGAGAGCAAAGTTCATTAAGTTTCCAGGCAGTATCAAAATGGACAAATTAAACTTGCAAATGTTTTCATGGATTGACATGGATGATTTTGAAATGCAGTTGATAGAATTTCAGAGTAGCTCAATTATTTGTTGATTTGAAAAATATCGAAAGGAGCAATTAGAGATGGGAGTATGAGAGAGAAATGTGGAAAACAAATTATTAAGGATTTGGAATACCATTCCAGAAAATTTTCTTGGTTTAAAAAAACCTTTCAACACCATTACTATCCATGTTTTCATCTAAATATGTTTATGAATCTTTGTTCTCAGTGATGAACTTTGTTAAATCTCATAACAGGAGTAGATGACAGATGAAACTAGTAATGCATGCATATCTCTCAAGGTTACTAAATATAAACTAAATATAAAATCTGTCATCAATGATGCAGCAGCAGAAGTCGTCCCATTGATAATATATAAAAAAAAAAAAGAGTCAACAAGTTTTCTGTCTCTAGTTTTATTTGATGTTTTCTTTTGAAAGTGGAAAAGGTTCAGGGCTGTTTAAATGTAATTTTGAAGGTAAATAAATATACTTTTTTATATATACATCATTTATAATGGTAAAGGGCAGAGTCTTGTCTCAGATGGTAGACAGCTACCCAACCCTGTATATACAGGGTCTATGGGGAATTTTTGCCCAAGCCTAGGGACTCGGTTTTGTCCTGCATTAAAAAAAGGCCTTGTGCCACATCCTGCCTCGAGGGGAGGTAAGGTAATTAACCTTATTCAAGAATTACAAGCTTGCTAACCGATTCCCTGTCTTTCAGTAGTGTATTCTCTTTTACAATAAACCTCTCTTCTTTCATCTATGCCCGTGTTGCTGTTCCTCCACTCGAGTACCACCTTTGTCTGTTTGTCTGCTTAAATAAGCATGGAATAATACAACACAAAATGTACGTTAACAAAATGTATTGAAACAAAGAATAGGTACACAATATTTACAGTTAGTTTGGTATATTCTTGGGAAGACTGTTCCTGCATAATGGGTTGACTAAATGTAGTCGGGCAGAGTCTCTGGATTCAATTTCTTTTTACTATCTTCCCCCGTCTTCGGGTACCAACCCATATTTATATGGTCATCTTATGTAAATTAGGTGTATCATACACAACAGTAACCTTTAAGGATACAACACTTATTGACACTTTACCGAAATAATTCCTGCAATTTTTATTCATATTATCATCTCAAGTCTGTTTTATCAACAAACAAGACAAAAATTTAAAATCTGAAGAAGGAATCCTGTTTATGTCTTCTGTTGCATATTTTTCCTTTCACAATTCATTTCAGTTCCTTTTTCATCATAATTCATTTTCCTCTGTTATCATTTTATGTTACATGAGACCCAGTAACTTATTTACATGTAGACTATTGTCCTCATCTTTGTTATCACAACGTTTCAGCCATTGTGCCCTTTGGCCTTCATCAGGTGTATGTCCATCCAGGTAACCTACAGAGAATTTCAAAGTGAACCCTTTATTTAATATATTGGGATAGCTTATTCGCATTTCACTGCCCATGTATAGTTCTTATTTTAGTATGGCTCATTTATTGCTTGCCCAAGTACACTGCCCAGACCAGTGATTGAACTCACAATTACTATATCACTATATTCACAAACTGATGCTTTAATTCACTAGTTGTCCTGTGAGGGACTTGGAACCTTAACTTAACCTGCCTGCTGATGAGTGTTGCTGCTTCACATGACTGACTGCACTCAAGCTTTTCTCTTTTCTGCTGATGCTGTTGAAGACTTTCAGTCATTTGTCTTTCCTTCTTTATTAGCAGCTCCCATATCCTATTTATTTCTATGATGAGCCTACTAAGGAGGCCCTTATAATCTAGCATATGTGTGGATTCTTTTTAGATGCCTAAGACAGTGTTCTTCCTTGTCCTGTATTTTCACTTCTGATGACTACACTTCTTCCTCTATACATGATCAGCCATATCTAATTTCATTGTCTCACCCTTCATTAGAGTTTTTTCTATGTTCCTCTAGCTTTACTTTTAGAGGAAACTTGTTTACCACAACTGCAAAGAATAGAATACACACAGTTCTTGGTCATGTTCTCTCCCCTATTAGGCTTTACTCAGCAGAGATTTCTCCGTATAAATGAACTGCTTCAGAAGTGTGTAACTCAACAATTCAACTGGTGATAGCAGGTAGGCACAAAGAAAACCGGTGTCGCACGTCCAACCTTCTCACGAGCCGAAAGCCTTCTGTTTTAAACAGCAGAAACGAGCCTGCTTTATACAGCTGCGGACCGACCACGATTTGCATGCAAATCACGAGGCAACGAGATTTCACGTTAACTGACCGAGACCACTCGGCATAAAACGCGGGCGCCGCCATTTTGGTTTTCTTTTTTACAGTTGGAAGGACCAGTGTTTACATACTGCGCAGATTCGAACGCGTTTCCGAGGTCGGCCATTTTCACAATTTTCCCCACAATATTGTCCTGATGTTGTATGGACTACAGATCTTCTGAATCTTCTCTAATAAACCCTATATGTAAGGCAGACAGATCATGGTATTTTTTTGGTTCTTCTTCTTGACCCTTATGTTTCCTGCAAACACTGATGTTATGTTTGAAGAGTAGCTGTTATTCTGAATAGTATGCTTGATGCTGATTAGTTCCTGTTGGTATGTGTATGGGTTGCCATGTGATTTTTGCATGGTGTTGTTGGCATAGGATGATTCTTTTATTTAGCTAATTATTATTTTCTTCTTCCATTGTGAACTGGAGTTCACATGATCCAGCAGTATTTGTACAGCTTCCTAATGAGGCAACAATATCAAAGTGTCATCTACATATCTCAGCCATAATGTTGGCTTCAGTGGTGCCAATTCCTCAAAGTATTTCAGGCATATGTTCACCATCATTGGCGACAACAGTGAACCCATAAACAAGCCTTCTTGCTGTTGGTGTATGTTACACTAGTTGGAAGAATGTTTTCTGTAGACAGAACATCAATATTTCCATCAGGTTATCTATTGTAATGTTAGTAAGTTCTACCAGGGAGCAATCTGATTCCAATCAGTTTCAGAGCCTCATCTGTAGGAACTCTAGTGAACAGGCTCACTATATCCAAGCTTACTATCCAATTACTATGGATAGAAGCCTCTTGGATCAATTCCACAAACTAGTCTGTGTTTCTAACATATGACAAGGATTTCCCTAATAGTGGGCTATTTCCACTAGGAATCTGCTCAGCAGGTGACATGCTAAGTCCCTACAGCCAACTATAGGTCTCAAAGGAATACTAACTTTGTGAATCTTGAGAAGAGCATACATATGTAGCAGCTTGGTAAAATATTGAGTCACCTATTTGTATTTATTCAATGCAAAGCCGTACTTGTTTTTACTTAGTATCTATAACAGATTCCTCTTAGTTCTTAGGGTTTGATCCTTTTTCACGTAGCTATAGATGCTATTTCCAACTAGGCTTGCCAATTTATTGGAGTATTCCAATTTGTCTATCACTACTAAAGCATTGCCTTTTTCAGCTGGCAGTATGATGATGATACTAGTGTCACTCTCTAAGGTCTTCCTTACTAACCTTTCTTCCTTTGTGATGTTTGACTTAGCTTGGCCTTTTCTAGTACTTATCTCATTTTCCATCTTAACTCATCTGCTTGGAAATTTGGGATCTTCATGGCAACCTTCTCCAGTGGCTGAAGTGCACAAGGGCTGGAACATTGAGATAACAACAAAGATGAGGACAATAATCTGCATGTAAATAATGATAATTCCTCATCCCGAAAATTCTAACATAAACTCAGTAACTTGTTCCATATATTTAACTACACCCTACTATCATCACCAGTTGTCCATGAAAAAAAAAATCAATAAATATTTTTAAAATTAATAAAGCTCTTAAGCACAAAAATATGTTCCAATATATAACAAGTATTTTGTTGAATCTGGTAAAATGCCATGTTTTTGGAGCATTCATCTCTTTTATCAGCTCTTTCTGTTACTACGAGGAGAGAAAGGATAAAGTAACATCATCAAAAACCTTCTCTTACATGATATCCCACAGCCATGTTACTGTGGATTGATCCAAATCCTATACATTTTCAAACTTATAGTTGGCTTTCAAAAAATTGCAGATGATTCTATTTAGCATGTCATTAAAGTCAAATGTTTTATTAATTAGAATCTAAGCCGAATCCACAACAGAACATGCAAGATTTTGTTTTGTTTTTTTTAATTTTTTCATTGTAAATCAACATTTTTGAGATTTTGAGCCATGACATGCACAAGACAAACTCAAAGTTTATTTAAATCTACTTTACCCATAAAATCAAAAAATGACAGTAAATAATTGTGCAATTATATTGCTTAAATTTCCTACAGGAGTAATGAAGGAGTTTCTGGATGCAATTAACTCAAGTGTTACATGTAAGAAGTTTGCTTTTTAAATCATTATGTTGCAAAGAATTGGGTCAACCTGAAAAGAGACTCAGTTTTGGTTGTGTGGTGCTGTAAACACCAGGAGTTACGTCCCCTTCCACAATCAGCTGTTGAGAGAAAACCTTCTACTTACAATAGGTGGTGCTATTTGCATACGAATGATACTGGGCAGGTATTAGACAATAGTCAGAGTGGGGTCTGGAACAGGGAGAGCTATAGAACACTAGTTTTTTTTCTCAATCAGGGTAATTACTAGTAAAATATTTGCTTGTTGGTATTAAGGAATACTTCATATTAACATAACATCAGAATATTTAATTATTAAAAAAAAGGGAAGATCAGATTGTGCAACTGATAAATATATAGCATTAAATTGTATTTTTTTTATTTTATAGAACACACTTGGGGTCTGTAGTTAAGGAAATATTTTGATTTGGATTCTATAAACACTTTAAGCAAAATGACAGATCTTCATTAGAGAAAATCCAAAAGTTATTTTCCATTTTCCTTACCTGGTATTCCAAAGATGGGAAATTGTTTGAAGAGGGAGCTCCAACCACAACATCTTTAATTCCATCAACATTCAGATCCAGGATAACAACTGAAGCTCCAAATCGTGACTGATTCTGCAGAAACAAGAAATTCTATGCAAAGCATTTTTATAGAAGAAATTATCTTTGGGCAGATCATTGAACTGGGAGCATAAAGGTCTATGAATCGATATTTTATTAAGACTGCATGGATACATTTTTTTTAATGTTTTTACAATAAAAAAATTACAATAAGAATTAAACTGAAATCTGAGATAAATGATCAAAAATCATACATGACTTTCTTAGCCATTGATCAATTTTTATTAAGAATTTTATTATTTTGGGCATGACATAATTGATTTGGATTTGAAACCCATATGGAATTTAGCAGAAATTAAAATCTGCATGTTACACTTAATATCTGTGACCAAAAATAGACATTAAGTAGACTACTATGGAACCAATGAAAAAAAGCATATAAAAAAGGGGGGCAGCAAACCCCTTCTTCTTTTTTTCTCTCTCCAGGCATTGGTCATGAGGCTCGGATTCTTTTTCATCAGTTCAATACTGTTATAAGATGTTATGATAATGCCTCCCAAAATGCAGCCTTTACAACCAGGACATTTTTATCATCCTGAAAAAAGGTACATTTCAGGTATGGACATTTTTTATACATCAACCACACTTGTACAGGTCTTTCTTATTATTTGTTTGTTATAAATTGTTTTCTGTGTAACTCACTAAATGTTTGGTCTTATTTACTGATTTGCATCTAGTTTCATCTGATTTGCCTTTTTCCCTCCCTCCAAATCTGCTTTTGAAAACTAGTAGGGTTAATGGAAATGGCAGACAGTAACAGGAATTGTTACTTTCAGGCAGCATGACCATTTGTCATTGTTTTAATGGAGTGTAGGAGTTTCCTTTAAAAGCTTTAGCTAAGAAAAGGATAATACCTGTACACCCAGAAGTCCATTCAACATGGCTTCTCTTATTTAAATCACCAATTACAGAATTTACCTCTGTACCATAATACATTCACTTTGGATTTAGCCATTTCCCACACTAACAAATTTCAACTTAAGACAAGTTTAGGATAGCAAAATTGAAGCTGAAATTAAATGATGGTCCAAGATGAAAAAAAAAAACAGTGGATCAAATTTCAGGAGGGTCTGAATTCAATTTGACGCCAATAATTTCAATGAGACTGATTAGAATTTATAAGTGGAAAGTAATTAATGAGGAATAATTTGATTCCACTTTCTACTCCAAGTTGAGAAAATGTTTCAGGGCAATTTTGAAGCCAAAATACAGAGGACTTCTCCCCATTTACTAGCTATTAACAAAAAGTAGAATTTTCACTTTCAAATTCTGAAACTGTTCTTATTGAAAGGATAATAATGAAAGATTACAAAGTAATCTTTCATTATTCAATCTTTAATGCATGATAAGAATTTATTAAACCTGTTCATCATGCCAGAAAAACCTAACTTCTGTTTCAACATTTTCATCTATTGTCACAAAAATGTGAACAAATTAAAAATTTTTTGTCAAAATTAATCTAACTGGAAGACTAAAATTAAAATTCACAGAAAAAAAAATTAATAGAAAATAATTCTTGCTGTAACCGCATTTTCTTAAAATTGACCCACAATTCATCTAATTCATGTGTATTAATACTGTGCTTCAGGTTAACTTTTTGGTAACATCGTGTCTCACCAAATATCTAAGAGGCCTTGTGGAAATATAACCCACACTGCACCTTTTTGTTTTGTTTCATCAAATTTATTTCCTACCCCAGTGTTACCAGAATGTATTATTGTTAGCATTATCACTTGGTCATGTTTTTGATCTTGAGCCATCAGATGTCAGATTCTACAGGAATTTCAGGTGTGAAATCCTCACAGCCATACTAAGGTCTTTGTTGAAAACCAATTTTGAAAGTACAAACCAACAAACTCTGTTGATTACTAACAATGTGTTTAATGAAAACAAATTGAAGAATTTTAAAGTACACAAGAATTATTAATCTTTCTATGTAGACTGCTTGATGGTCTTTCAAGCAGGAAAATTATTCTGGTAATTTGTAATAAATGGAGAGACCTCTCTCTCTCTCGATTGTGTATATAAGAAAATTTGAACACTTTTGGCATTGATTTATTGAATGTGTTTCAATAATGTTGCATCATTGAGGTGATTGATACACAGAGAAGAATGAATGCTTAATATATTTATTCAGCATCAGTATCCAGTGTTAATGAATACATAGAAAAAACACAGGACAATAAGTTATAAAACAATTAACAAGACAACTTACAAGGAATAGAGGAAGGTCAAATGCAGGATAACCAAATGATCAGTCTGAATATTAATCAGCTTAGTATCAATTTATTAATCAACTGTTGAAGTCTTTAATCATAGGCTATTTAAAGCCATGAGCCAGACCATGTGGTAGAGTGCTGAAGGGGTGCTAGCTACTGTACAACAAATAAGATATTTATGACCTTTCTTTGTGTAAAAAAAAAAAGGATGGCTTTTCATGGAATGTGGTCAGTCTAAACCCCTAATATTGAGTTTGGTAGCATTATGACATCTGTGGGTTTTGACTGTATCTTAAATAAACATAGTAAGAATTCTTTGGAATTTGGGATATTTCAGAAAACCCTAAATCATGTCATAGTGCTCCAGAAGCAAATGGGTGGGCTGGGAAAGATCGAGTCTAAATCTTAATGAATTCTACTTGGTTTATTTCAGGTTCAAATCTTCCTAAAGCCTTCTCCAAGTTCATTTTTTGACTTCTAATTATTATTTTTAATCCATTCTTTCTTTTCTTTTTTCTTAATTATTTTCTTTGAGTTTTTTCCCATTTTTATCTTATCATTAGTCAATGTCATGAATTAAAATGTTGAACAAAGCTTGTCATCCTGCTATATCCCTCATGCAGTAAACTGTTGAACCAGGGTTACCACCCTGTAACAGAAAGAATAAAAGAAAATCAGAGAAGATGAGTGTTTGGAGATGATAACTTACTTCCCCTACAAAGAACAATAACTCAAAATACGATTGAGTTACTTCCCTTGTTTGAGAGATCAATGCAGCACTTCTGAATTCAACATGGTGACAAGCTGACACACGGATGAATTTCATGGTTTAAATCCAAACTAATCCTTGCTGTTCTCAGGTAGTAAATGAATAAAAAGTTGTTTCATTATGTGTCAAAATACACTTGTCTTTTATTTTCATTCCTTTTTGTTCATCCCAACAATCTGAGATATAACAATGAGAATAGACAAAAGAAACCTTATGTGAATATATATATTTTTTTACATTAAGAAGGATTGATTAATTTAAAATTCTCAGGTGTTTAAAGATAAAGATCTTTGTACATATGAAAAAAAGACTCCTAGTGTGTATGTATGTGCAAGGTTCACATTAGACAAATGTAAGTGTTTATGTATAAACATATGCATGAGTGTAGTCATCCATGAAAATTATTAAAAGTGCGCTGACCTGAATGATCTGAAGTATGTATGTGTGTCTAGGTGTGTGCGCATGTCATTCATATGCGAGTAATTTCGCCCTGTGGTTTTTGTTTTTTATTAAATGATATTCACCTTGTACAAGGCCCAAGAGCCACTCGATGTAGAGAATTACAAAGTAAGAGGCACAGTTTATGCAGATATCTGGGGAAGATAACAGTTAACCCCAGACTTAAACAGGTTAAGATTTTAGTGATTTAGGGAAGCATCCTCTTGGGAGTCAGTTCCACAAAGCTGCAGTATTGTTTAACAATGAGAGCCAATACTAGGGAACTTATAAAAAATCATCCCATCTGAAATTGGATTATCAAGTTTTTTTTATATAGCTATCTTGTTGAACCATTTGAATATTACTGGTTGACTTCTGATTGGCTGACCAGGTTATGATGTATCCATGTTGGAAGAAGATCTCATTTCTGTTTGGCTCATGAAAATATGACTTCATGGCCTAGCAATTTTCTTTCTTTGATACATCCTGAATTTTTGTCTCTTTTCAGCAATGATAAAACTTGTTTGAATTTTCTTGTTTTAAATTATCCATACAGTATAAATTCCAATTTTTGTTATACAATTTGAACTTATTTGCCTTTTGATAATTAATGAAGACTGTCTAATCTTCCACAGAGTACCAGGATTAAAATAGCTATAAAAGATAATCACTAAGTTTTGCTAGCTAATTTTATTTTATCTGTTCCACATTTAACATTATGGTTAATAAATAGAATAGAGCACAAAGAATTTGTGGAAGAAATGAAAGGCAGATATATTTGCAATCCAACAATTCAATAAAACAATTGTTTTCCTGGCCTTTTCCTTGTAATATTCTTTAAAACTAGTCACAAAAGCCATTGATAGTGACTTTATTCTTCACTAAATTTTCCATGAAAATGACCAATAATGATTTAGTTTAATATTAATTTATTTGTGGTAACTAAATACCAAGATGTATTTTCAGTGCCTTCCCCTCAAAAAAGTAGAATATCTCTGTTGTATGCTGCATTTTGAGTAGTCCTAAATAACTTCTAAATTTGATCAGATACCACATAAACTTGAAGAAGGCTGAAGAACGTATTGGCTTAAAATGAAAACACTGTACTGAAAACTGTATGAAATAGTGTGCTTGAAACTATTTGAACTCAGTCATGGGTTAGGGTTAACTGATTGTTTTGTTGTAGTTGCAGTTTTAAACAAGAAACTTACCTTTGGCAATCCACAACTAAATGCTTCCAGAGAATCCAGATGGAAATGTCCTGGAAGGATCCCAGATTCATTACCTACAATAAAAGTCTCTGACATTTCTTATACAAAATTCATATTAGTCAATAAATATATATATATATATGAGAAAGACATAAACGGATAAATCTATATGTATTTCATTTATTTATTTGGTTGAAACAAATGTTCATAATGTTTTTCAATATGTTGCATTTGAATACATCATACAACTAAAATATATATACAGAGTGTTATGGGTAAATTGTTGCCATTTTATATTTTTAATTTCATGCATGTGTGTTGTTTGTTTTTGATTTTGTTTACTGCACAGCATAGTAGGGTCAGTTGGGCACCGTCTGTGAGAAAAAGAGCACCATGACACAATTCACTTCACCAGAAATTTGGAAATGGCATGCTGTACTGCTTGGCATTCACACCAGAAATTTCAATACAAACATTTCAGAGATTTTGGGTGTTAATCTGAGAACAGTACAGAGGATTCAGAAAGAGTTGGATGAGTTTAATGGTGATTACAAAGGTGTGATTACTACTGATGGTGATGTTATGCCTCCATTAATCTTCCCACAGGGCCTCAGACTCAACACGGAGGCCTACATCAAGTGCCTCGAGGAGGTAGTTATGCCCTAGGTTAAGAGGGTGGCTGTTGGAAGACCCTGTGTCTGGCAACAGGATTCTGCACCATGCCACACAAACAGGAGAACCCAGTCATGGCTATCAGACAATTTTTGCAAACACATCACTCTTTACACCTAACTCCCCAAACTGCAACCCCCTTGATTATTATGTGTGGGCACAGTTGAGCAAGAGACCAACAAAACTCCTTGTAACAACAAAGATGAACTGAATGCAAAGATTATGGTAGCATTCACCAACTTAAACAAGGAGACCATCCAAAAGAGATGCAGGAGATTCCGAAGTCATCTGGCATAGAATAAATTTACTCTTTAGTATTTCAAGATATTTTTGTGTAATTTTGGTAAATATATCTGTTAAAATGAAATGCCAGTATTATTTTTATTTTTGTGTAATTTAAGCGACGATTTATCCATCGCGCCTTGTACATATACTGAAAGGTGATATGTCAACATATCTTTTGATACGTTAGTGTATGGATTGTGAATTCTAAATGTTTTATAGTACAAGTGAAAATGGAGTAAAAATGAGATGCATTTTCATCATTGGATGCTTTTTTACTGCCAAAAAGAAAAAAATGCTGAACAAACAGCAAAAAAGATGTGTGCCATTTATGGAGAGAGTGCCATAACTGAGAGTACTGTTTGTCAGTGGCTCACTAGATTCAAAAGTGGAAATTTTGGTTTAGAAAACTGAAAACATTCTGGCTGTTACTGATGATGACCAAATTGAAATACTGATTAAAAATAATCCAGGTCACACAACTGAGTTTATCATCCAGAAAGATACTAAATTCTGGGAGGATGAAATTATGAATTGCAATGATAGCAAAATGTAGTGGAAGAAAATAACTTGTATGTGATTGAATAAATCAATGCTGAATATATCAATGTACAAATATCTAAATAGTGTCTTTGAAATTCACTTAAAAATGTCAGAAACTTGTTTCAATCCAACAATTTGTTAATATCTATAATATTTAATATATTTGATGGGATATAAAATCTCAATCACCTTTTTCTTTTCCAAAATAAAATCTTCCAGGTTTTGGATGTGAAGTTGAGACATCTGGAAGGCTATTTGTTATGTAGATGTCATAGATTAAAATTGTAAAAAGGCAACATTATTTACATTATTCAGACTATTGTCCTCATCTTTGTCACCATATTTATTACATTTCGGCTGATAACAACAACAAAAATTGCAATATGAGCTCTGGTAAAAACATGTATGATAACAGCAAAAATTGCAATATGAGCACGGTTAAAAAATGACTGCTGAAGACATTAGGTTTATTATACCCAGAAATTAATACACAGATGTCAAGGACACATGGCACAGTGGATAAAGGCATTAGTTAGATCCAGTGACAGGAACAAAGAGTGTGAGTTCAATACTCGGTGAGCAAAATTCAGTTCGACATCGGCCGAAACGTTGTAATAAAGATGAGGACAATAATGTACATAATACCTCATCTCAGAAATATAGACAGATACTGAAAGGCCAAAATGTTGTAATAAATATGGCAACAAAGATGAGGACAATAGTCCAAATAATGTAAATAATGTATATAATACCTCATCTCAGAAATATAGACAGATACTGAAAGGCCAAAATGTTGTAATAAATATGGCAACAAAGATGAGGACAATAGTCCAAATAATGTAAATAATGTATATAATACCTCATCTCAGAAATATAGACAGATACTGAAAGGCCAAAATGTTGTAATAAATATGGCAACAAAGATGAGGACAATAGTCCAAATAATGTAAATAATGTACATAATACGTCATCTCAGAAATTAAAGTAATGAAGTTGTGTAGAAGGGAAAAATGTTTTAAATGTTTTGCTGACCTTATGGAAGATTAAAAACAATTTTAGTAACTTTATAAAATAATGTTTTTTTTTTTTTTGCTAATGTAATTTCTAAAGCATTGTGAAAATACATCTATTCTTAAAGGTTCAATAAGTTGAGAATATAGAATAGCAATGCATTATACACAACTCTACTGTATCAGTAACACATACATTCATTACTGACCACTGACAATCCATTTCTTCCTGATTTTCAATTTCTTTCCCTCCCTGCCAAAAATATTTTAAATTGTTTATGCAGATTAAATCTGCTAATTGGGTAATGGAGAGTAGTGGTAAAGTCAGTAGAAAGTGACTAGGTAAAAGCTCATCAGATGAATTCAAAATACATTTGGGATAAAATAAAAAAATTGCAGCCCCCCCCCCTACACACACACACCTCTTACCCAACTCACAACCAGAATCAGCTGCGTTACTAAACTGAAGTGTGAGAAAATTAGAGACAGCAATATTGGCATGTAGCTCCTCCCTTTGCCTTAATGATGTGGCATGAAGTCTATAAGGTGTTTGTTGTTGGGTGTGACTGCAATATGCCCCCATACATGCTTAATGGGGGTTTAATATGGTGAATATAGGGCCCATTGGAATATTGGAGTCTACAAGGTGCTGACATCATTGCATGGTTATATATATCCAGGCACATTCCAAGGCTGTCTATAATCGAGTTGTGCTTGCTGGGTATGACTGTCCCATGCATGATCAATAGAGTTTAGATCTGGTGGAAATGGGGACCAGTGAAATACTGACTGTTCCTGGAACCAATTTCATGTCATCCATGGAGGGAGATGTCTTGCCTGTGTCACCTTTCTGAAAAAAGAAAAAAAAAACATCACCCCCAGGAAAGACAATAGGTGCAAATGGTTTGCTGCAAGATTTGTGGATGTCAAGTAAAACTTAAATTTTACTTGTGGTGCTTGCAAACTGATAAAACACACCCCATACCATTATATAGTCACTCCCAACTTGCACAAAACATTTCTGATAGGCTTCATCCATAACCTCTTGTCTTCTTCATGCATGAACTTGACCATCTTCCTAAAATACTTGAAAACCTGACTAGGAAACATGGCACCAGTTTTTCATAGTCCAATGACGATCTTCTATGGCTGATACCATGGTGACAATAATAATAATCTTGTTAGTCAATAAGTATGAAACTCTATAGAATACTGTGTACTCTCTACAGGACTAATGCTGAACAACAGTAGCCTTGAATTAGGATGTGATTTGATGCAAAGTTTCTCTTTGATGAGTGAGTGCTTGTTACCATCTTTACTAGTTGCTGATGGTTCCATTTTTGCATTCCCCATGGGCACCGATTGTTTTCAAAAGCTGCTGTTTACACAGAATTTCCATAATCTTGGAATACCTATATATAATACATTCATGTATTCTTGGAGTAAAACCCAGTGCAGTTGCCATCTCAGAAATATTCCCCATTGTTCAACACCCCTCCTACACAGACACACCCACACATTCCATGATCATGCACTGTTTATTCTTGCTGATACATCTTTACACATCATCTGACAGAGTCCATTTCTACAAGTGGCAGCAGGATTAAACTATTTAGTGCACTGGTGTTTTTAATTCAGAGGTACTTCAATTTACATATCCAATTGTGAGAGTGAATTAAATTTTTGACATATTTGTTTAATAAAACCTAGCTGTTATATCATGGGTTATATAAACAATTAATCAAATTCATAAAATTGATCTTGAATACATGGAAAACAGAAAAAAGCAGAATTACCATAAATAACAAAGATACATCCTTGCTGTGGGCTCTGTTCAGCTCTATAGCCTGGGGCACCAATGACTAAATCATCAAATCCATCATTATCAACATCCCCAGTGGTGAGAGACCTGAAGAGAAAATATTTCATGAAAAGAATAAACAAAAAAGTGTGTGTGTGTGTGTGTGTGTGTATATATATATATATATATATATATATATATATGATAGGATAGGATAAAGAACAAGTAGGAAACAGATCTTAATCTAACATGCTTCACTTTATTAAACCTTCTTCAGAGATCAAGATAGAAATGATAAAAAGCAGAGATGCAGATTAATGGTATGTTGTGTTTGGCTATTTCTTATTGGTTAGATATGTGTCAATGTTTTCTGGCACTTTGACTCTAAGCAGATGGCACAGTTCTATATATAGCTAAACCCATCAGTTTTTATAGATTTTCAAGACATCTCTTTGTTTGAAAAATTGGCACAACACAATCTTCCAAGCCTCGTTTTGATGAAGTCTTGTGCCAGATTAAGTTTAGTAAATATTAAAACTAATCCAATTCAATTTCTGTTTGAATTTCCTGGGATGAACAGTTTTCATTATTTACCTAAAGTAAATAGCGTAAATAATGGTTGAACCATTGTGATAATAACAACAAAGATGAGGACAATAGCTCAAATATAAATTCTGTAAATATTGATAACTCCTCATCCCAGAAATTCAGACAGAGATTTTATTGAATCAATACAAACCTGATTTGATAAACCAATTCAGTTCAAACATTGTGATAACAACAACAAAGATGAGGACAACTGTCTGAATGTAAATATTGTAAATAATAATCCAATTCAGATTCAAACAAATTTAGTACATAATTTTTATTTCTTTTTAAGGATGTGGAATTAGTAAATGCTAAACACTTCAAATATCATGGTATATATGAATCAGTTAACATAGAATAGGATGTATACAAGGTAGTTTTGTTCAATATCACCATTTCCCCTCCTAGATTATAACATTGACCTGAAAACTAGAGTCATTTATTTGCCAAGATGTAGTTTTTCTTGTTTTCTCTCAGAGTGTATGATTTTAGATAGACCCCCTCACCTACTAAGCAGATAACTGAAGTTAGTGCCCTTTGCACAGTTAGAGAATTAGTTCAGTCTTGAGAAGGGGTTGCAGCAAGAATTGCTGCCACCAATGTTCAGACTAACACCAATGGAGAACAAAGATATTCCAAGATGGTAGCTGACAAACTCACCATAACTTAAAGGTAGTAATTTTTTAGAGTGCAAATCTCAAATATTGGAAGTACAATTTTTATGCCATGTTTTATTGTTGTTTTACATTTAATAAAAATGATAAATGTATTTTGGCACCTGTCTTTTCATTTCTTTTAGTACCTCTTATTTAGGTTTGGGGACTTCTTGAGGCAGGGAGCTGTTATAAAATGATAACCCAAGAGTAACCTTATTTTAGCTGGATTGCTACACAGGACAAAAGGTACACCAACTGCCCTGCTATTTAAAAGTTATAGGGATCTGTTGATTCATGCCTTTCTCAAAAGTATTAGAATGAGTCAAACATAAGCAAGTCCTATTTCCCATACCACTCTGTACATTGTTATTTACAAAAGAAACATAAAAAAGAAACTCACCAGCCAAATTTACTGTAAGAATTGTTAACTGTATACAAAGAATATGGTTTCAGTTGTATTTTGGAATTAGATGAAATTTTCTTGAAATGTGGAACACCTACTTTTGCATTCTGCAGTCTTTCCTAAAAAAAAAAAAAAAAAAAAAAGAGTAAAGAAAAACACTGATGCCTGTTTTAAATTGAAACTTTAATAACAACCATTTACTCCTGTCTTAATTGTAAGTCTGAGCAGTTCAATAAGGTCGAATTAGCAGCTGACCTAAAAAAATGACCTACAATCTGTTGTTAACTGGGGCAAGGAATAGCTTGTTAATTTTAACACCCCCAAAATGAAACTGTTCTGTTTTAATCATCTGAGAGAACCCTTTTTACCTTCCATCAGCATCAGTGACTCCTTGAATCTTTTCCACTGACATATAGTGGAAAGATTATATTGAATCAATTGCTGGATCTGCTGTTAAGAAAGTTGGTTCCCTGTGTCATGCTAGACAATTTTTCTCAACAGAATCTATCTTGCATATTTATAAGTCTACCATTCATTTATGCTTTGACTATTGCTGTCACATCTGGTCTGGTGCTTCTGCTATATATGTAGGGATTCTTGATAAAATAGAAGAAACTGCAATGTTATTGTTCCTGACGTGGCATCTCGGCTTCAGTAACTTTCTCACTGTCATAACATAGCTTCCCTATGCATTTTCTATAAACACTTTCATGGTAATTGTCCTGATGAACTTCCCTCTATGGTATCTTTATGAATTTAAACGTAGTACTTGATTGGTGGAAGGGTCTCATCATTTTACAGTTGAAATGGCTAGATGTAACCATAAGTTCTATGCCAAAAGTTTCTTCCATTGCATGTCTCCCTTGCAAAACTCTTTTTCGGCTTCTTGCTTCTCAGTCAATTTTGACCTTCAAAAATTTAAATACGATGTCAATTGTCATCATCAGTCATCTTAATTCTTGTTCTTTTATTGCTCTCTCTCCTTAATAGTGTTTTTTTCCTCTCATATTTTCTAACACTCAGTAACCACTTGCATGTTAGTGGCTTTATTGCCTTGCTTGGAATGAAATAATTAAAACAAGAGAAAAAACTGATTACACTTTCAACAATAGGATGATTCCTTCCCCAATCGAAAATCTGATATACACTAGGATATTCATGATTTTACAAGTATTATATTGGGAAGGAAGGTCATTTTAAACCAAGGCAAACATAACCACATTACAAAATTAATCAGTTTCATACACTCAATGATACCCACAGGATATGTTTCCAATTTTGTTAATTATGGCTTTGATTTAATTTCTTAGAATTGGATAAAAGTTTTAACTGAAAGAATATGCTTATTTCTTTTACTTGTGGTTATTTTTGTTTTTTTTTTAACCATTTCACCCAAAGCAAAATAGTATAGCTACTAAGGCACAAGGTATTACTGAGTAAAAGAATAAGAAAAAAAGCAAAACATCATCAAGGAGCAAAAACAATAAAAAAGGAATCAAGAAGACAGTAGATGTCAATTAACATTGCATTTAATTGTTTGTTTAATGGCATAACAACTCCTAGTAAGTCATCTAATGCCAAAGCAAGTAAGATCAGGATTTTATATTTGTAGATTATTATTATTTTATAGTGAAATTAAGGTTTTTTTGGGTTTTTTTAACATTATAGTCATGTCAAAAGTAGTATTTAGTTTATGTAATTATAAACTGTATTTTAACTGTAAAAAGTTAAAAGTTTTTTGGGTTTTTTTTAAGATTTTGGTAATAGGTATGTTTCTTTTAAGAATTTAAAAATGTTATCTGGTAAAGAGTTTGTTCAGGTTATTTGTTTGGTAATATTTGATTTGGGCTAGTTTTCGGTTCTTACATAGTGTCAGTATATAGCTTACTGTGTACTTTTCTTGGCATATCATACATATTGGAGCTTCCTACTCTTTTACTAGGTATGAGTGCATGACAGACTTGTGTCATATATGGAGCCTTGGCCACTATCATTACCTCTTTTCTGGACAGTGTGTAGCTCTGTCACTTTCCTATGGTTTGTTTGTTTGTTTTGTTTAATGGCCTATCTACCTCAAAGGGTCATATAAGGCCAACACCATGTTCTTTGAATCAGTTTTTGGGGCATAAGGTTATATTGAGTTAAAATAAAACTGTTTTGCAATTTCTTGGTTTTTGTGATCATTTTAGGCCAGTGAAGTATAATTAGGAACGTTTTATCTGGGTAGCATTCAGTTGGAAGTTTTTTTTCTTTTGATAAGTTGTGAATTGTGTTATTTTGCTTTAGTTAATATATAAGTGATATGCTTTTTTTTTTCTTATTTTTTTTCTAAATTTTCTGGTAGAGGCGGATTTTCTTGAAATACAAAAAAATGATTTGGGGGCTGTTTTTTTTTTCAAATAAATCTTTAATGTTTTTTTCTTTGTAGAGATTATTTCTTGTTGCTGTGAAATCAATGCAGTCCATTGGAATGTGTTTAATTGTGAATGGGGTTTGACATGGTATACAGAAAGGTTGATTTTCTTTTTTCAGGAGATATGTGTGGGTTAAAAGTGTATGGCCTATTCTTATTCTTGCAAGTGTAACTTCTTTTCTGTTTAGCTTGGTATTTTGTTCCTGCTTTTTTATTTTTGGCATGATTTCGTATAGTTTGTTTTTGGGAAATCCATTCCAGTAAGTTTGCCATTTATTCATTGTGTATGTATTGATGTGTCTTTTAAGATCTGTGTAGGGGATTTTAAAGTTTGCATCAGTTGGGATATTTAAGGCAGCTTTAGCTGCTGAATTGGCTAATTCATTTCCTCTGATGCCTGTGTGGCTTGGTATTCAGCAGAAAATAGTTTCTTTTTGGCTTTGGTTGTTTAGTTGCGTTAGCTTGTTGAGTAATTTTGCAATTAGAGGATTATGTGCTTTTTTATTTTTGATTGCTTTTAGAGCAAACAGAGAGTCTGAAAAGATTATGTATTTGGGATTTTTGTTATTGGAGATTAGATTGAGTGCTAGGGTTAGTGCATATATTTCTCCACTAAAGATAGAGGTTTCTTTTGGGAGGTTTGATTGCTTTTTTATTGATTTGTTGAGTACCGTTGCACTGGCTGTTGCATCATTTTGTTTAGATCCATCTGTGTAGATGTGTATGTGGTTTGGATATTTTTCTTTGATTTTATTAAAAACTTCTTGGAATGTAGTTGGATGGGTTTTTTCCTTTTGGTGTTTACTTAAACTTAAATCTATCTCAGGCGTTATGATTTCCCAAGGTGGGATTTTGGATATTGTGGGTTTGAGAACTCTGGTTGTGGGTAAGGCTGCGTCGTTGGCGGTAGGGATTATTCTAAGACCAAAAGGTTTAATTGCGTTTTCTTTTTGTTCGAAGGATTCTTTGTATTTGGGGTTAAAAATATTGTCATATATAGGGTTGTTAAGATTTGCTCTTACTTTATTGTAGTACTTAAGAGCCAATTTGTTGGTTCTGATTTTTGGTGGTGGTTTGAAAGCTTCGGCATATAGGCTTTCCACTGGGGTAATTTTGTAGGCTCCCAGGGCTAGTCTTAGCCCGGTGTGGTAAATGGGGTTTAAAGTTTTTAAGTAGGATTTCTTAGTAGATTGATAGATGAAGCATCCATTGTCTAGTTTTGATCTGATTTGTATAGTTTCATAAGGGTGTCTTTGTCAGCTCCCCAATTATTGTGGGCTATGACTCATAGTAATTGTAGTGCTTTTTTATCGAAGATTATTCCTAGAAATTTGTGTTGATTTACAAATGGTATGTTTTCTCCTTCAAGCTTTAAGTTGAGATCGTTGCGCTTGTTACAAAAATGAATACATTTGGTTTTGGTTTTGGATATTTTGAAACCATTATTGGTTGCCCAGCTGTTAATTTTGTTTATGCAATATTGCAGTTTTCTTTCAATCGTGTGGATGTATTTGGATCGATAACTTATGGTGAGTTCATCAATGTATAGGGATCCATTTATGTCAGACGTGATTTCTTTAGCTATATTATTTATTTTAACATTGAACAAGGTTGTTGATAGGATGCTACCTTGTGGTACACCTTCTTCTTGTTTATATATATCAGATAGAGTGGATCCTATACATACTCTGAAAGTTCTATTAGATAAAAAATTAGAAATGAAAACAGGTAATCTATGTTTTAGTCCAATATTTTGTAGATCTTTTAGAATTTCATGTTTCCATATCGCGTCATAAGCTTTTTTTGAAGTCAAAAAAGATGATTGTTATATGTTGATCTCTTATGAAAGCTTCTCTAATGTAGCTTTCTAAATTGGTTAAATGATCGATACATCCACAATTTTTATGGTAGCCACATTGTATGTTGGTTGTTAGATTGTTTGTTTCGAGAAACCAGGTTAGTCTATTATTAATCATCCTTTTCTGCAGAGGCAGCTAATTAAAGAGATTGGTCTGTAGTTGGAAGGGGTCGATGGATCTTTTTTGGTTTTGAGTATTGGAATAATTATGGCTTGTTTCCATAGGTTAGAGATGTTGCTGTTAGTCCAGATATTATTGAAAATGTCGAGGAGGTATGTTAGGGAGATATCTGGTAACTGGTTAAAGAATTCATAATGTATGTCATCCGGACCCATTGCGGTATTATGAGATTGTTTTAAAGAATTTGATAATTCTGTTAGGGTGAAAAGTTGGTTATAGTTTTCAGTGTTGTTGGACTTTAAATTTTTCAACAATTCTTTTAATGTTCTGGAATTTTCTGCTATAGTTAGCAGGAGACGAGTTCTGGGAATAATTTTGGGCAAATGTGTTTGCGATTTCTTTGGGGTCAGTAATTGTTGTGTTATTATTAACAAGGTGTTTAAGTGGAGTGTTTTTATTTTTGCCAGAAATCATTGTGATAATATTCTAGACAGTCTTTGTATTTGAGTTTATTTTGGACACAAAATCTTTCCAAGAGGAGCCTTTGGATTCTTTTATTGTTTGTTATGCTATTGCTCTGTATTTTTTAAAAGAGTTTAGATTTTTTTTTTTAGTTGGTTGTAGATTGAATTTGTGGAGGGCAGCCCAGCGCAACCTGATCGCTTTTTTGCAATTGTCATTGAACCAGGGTTTGTTAAATTTGGTGATTTTGGAATGCATTTTTCTG